TATTATAATGTAGGAGCTCTATGTACCTATCCATGTCATAAATTTCATCCTGTTTTGTTGAAAACCAAGGGAGTTATAGACATTTAAAGTTTCAACTAATCAGATTGCAGCACACCTGCATGCGCGTGTTTTCAAGAAATTTCCTATATAACATGTTGTAGCACCTTATAATATATACTTATATTCTAAATTTCAAAGTATTTTGTCAAAAAACAAGGAATTTCAAAGCAATTCATCAAGAAATATCAAAGTTACGGCTTCATCAAGTATATCAGTCATTTCACTCATTGCACGCGCGCGCTCGTGCATGCATGTGCGCGCAAAATGACCTTCGTTCCGAACACCTACACAACATGCCTATTAACCCTTAAAAGGTTTCATGTCAATCGGATGAGTGGTTCTATGAGAACACTCGCGGACAAAAAAGTACCGGAGAAGAAAGTAGAAAAAAAGAATAATAATAATAAGAAGAAGAAGAAGAAGAAGAAACAGAGTAAAAACAATATGTTCCCAAACTTCGTTTGGGGAACATAATTATTAACATTGTAAATACAAATTATCGTCCATGGCCGGTTGTTTAGGCCCCAGGGTGGATTTATTTGGTCAAATAGCTAACTAGAGTGTCCAAGGAACGCATGTGTCGCCTGCGTTATAGCATCATTAAAGATGTAAATAACTCTAAGAGTGGTCGGTTATTTTTTTCCATTAGTATAATAGTCCATACTTTTGCATGCAAAGAAAAAAATCCACGGATAGAAATACTTTGATAGAATATAAAATGTGACAAATATATAAAATATGATTCCCAACTCTCAAGGATAAAATGAATAATGCAATTGAAATTATTAGAAATTAGAATTTATTTGTCATTTTATTCACGGTTTATTCCACAATCACTGTATATAATACAGTTTCAAAGTACAGTGTTACGCACTAATAAACATGTAATATATATGTTACTTAAAGAAACTCTGCCTCTCAAAATTAAGAAGACATTTTTTTAAATTAACTGTTCAAAGTATCTGTGCAAAGGAGGTCAAGGTCAAGAAGACTGTCACGCTGGTATTTTTTTAAATAATAACGTATATGACACACATCTTAAATAGCACAGACGTACTTCTTAAATGTCAAAAATAAGCTGTATATCGGCTCTATATACTATTTTGAAAAGTACGTCAAAGGTCAAGAGGTCGGTAACCATGCAGGCCTCTAAGTGGCCTCTAACATTCAGGCGCCAGCTGGCGCCTTATTAAAAAGAAATTAGTCGCCAGTGAAAATTTTTAGTCGCCAGGCAATTTTTCTAAGGCGCCAACTTTAAAAGTTAACAGAATATAGGGACCCACGAAGTGCCTACGAAAACATGACATGTCCATTACTGAAAATAATCTCCTCTTCTAAATTTCTTTTCGCTTTTTAGTAAAAATGTTAAAAAATGTGAAAGTTTCCGGAATTTGACGATCGCCAAGTCAATTTAAAATGGTCGCCAATCTGGCGACTTATGGTCAAATTTTAGGCGCCAATCAAAAATTTTAGGCGCCATGGCGACTAAGTTAGTCGCCAATTAGAGCCCTGCCATGTGTTTTACAAAAGCCATAGAACCAAGCAATATATGTGCAAAATATCAAATCCATACGTCTTACAGTTCTCGAGATTTAAGGTGTGACAGACAGAGGGACAGACAGAAAGACCTCGGGTAAAGAGATCCCTAAGTGTCGCTCTGCTCTGCAGGCGACACAAAAACGCATTCAACTTTAAAATATATACTTTATTCAAGAGCATGTGTCTTCTTTAGTTATGGACATGTATCAAATTGTTTTGATGATTAAAATGATTACTTAACCTTTAACTAAAATAATAAATTAATGCCTTGATGATCCTGCTTTAAATCAAAAATGTAAGGCTAAGCAAGATAGATTACAAATACACTACACTCATTGAAAACATATTTGTTTTTATGTCTGGCAGTCTAACTGTTTGCATGATTATAATAAATACATGTACTAAGCTCTCTACCAAACTCATGGACCCCTGGCCCTGACCCCAGGAGTGGGCCTACTGTCAAATATTGAAAGTAAATTTATTCTTTAAAGATCTTTATTACTTTTAGACGTATCAAGCAATTTTCAATGATACTATAAAGTAGCTATCCCTCTACAACAATGACAAAACTATTGTTCCCTGATACCAGGGATCAGACCACAGGGTAATGCTCAAGAAATCATATATTGAAATTTATTATTCACTCTACCTTATACATTTATCCCTGACCTTCTTGTGGACAAGCTGCATAAAAATGATAATCTTTAATTTCAAAGTTTTTTTTTTTTTTACAAAATTGATTCATTTTTTCTTGGAAAGATTTTGCATGAACTTTGCTTCATATGGTGGAGGATACATGATAACAAAGGATTTTAACAATAATAAAGCTGGATATCACATTTACCCTTCAACAAAATCCTCTCATGATGTGTGTATGCGGTATGATTCTACACCACCGAAACATTGCCTTGAAGATTTTTCATGCAAAAACAATGAACATATTCTCTTTGACAATAGAATAACTCGGACATCAGAAATTAAATTAGATATGGCTGGATGGTTTGATCCATATCCTGTCTTGCCTATTCAAGCTTCAGGCATTAAAAGTTTTGAAGTTAATATCCATGACGTGCAAGAAGTTGACTCCACTACACTGGCGATGGGTGAAAAATCTTTATTAACTTTAAGAGTTGATGAAAAACACAATACAATTCGGCTACCTAGCAAACAGCCTGCTCTTTACGGTGTGTCGTTGGAAGTGCTAGATGGTGCCGGAAACTTTAAAAAAGCGAGAAGATTTGTTTTATTTGACAATTCCTCTCGTCTACTTGTAGACTCGAGTAAAAAGCTATTCCTTTCTTCGGGGAACCCTGCTACGAATTACACATGGCAAACACATCATGGCGATCTTTGTACCACTTGGAAAGACCGATATCATAATTCTCACAACATCAACTATAATTTACTTCGGAAAATCAACCCCGATTTCTATAAACTTTATAAGGGTATTTATGAACAGCTTACAGGTCAGTTGCCTGTGAATGGAACGCTAAATTTTAACGGAGTAGTTGGAACGCGTTATCTCACTTCTTGTGATGGAACAACGATTCAAAATATAACATTGCCAAACTTTTTAAACCAACAAACTTGTCAAAAATATAACTTAAAGGATGGACAAACATATGCAATATCAGTCATTCCTGTCGATGTTATACAAAATTCTTTAAAAGAAACGATTACTATACACATCGATGCCAGTGTTCCAGACATCATGGATATTAGCTTGGAAAAAGATAGCGTTCGCAAACTCTTTGTTCACAATTCTTCAGATCTTTCAGGAATGAATATAACATTTGAAGCTTTTGACATTCATAGTGGAATACATTCAATAGAATGGATGCTGGGAACAACAAATGATAACGGAGATTTAGGAAAAGGAGCCATATCTGTGCATTACCTCAAGAAAACGGTTAGAAATAATTTGCTGATAAAATGCTTTTAAATCATTGCAAGATACATAAGATATAAAGGTCGCGTATCTAATATGCATGTCAGTCTCTCGTGGCCGTTTTTCAGTCTGACGCCAGTGAGCGGGGAATATGGAAATTAACGTGGAATGCCTCGTGTATTATAAACAATTAAACACCTTTTTTAAATTTATAATTACACTTTAATTTCACATATAAATGTAAATATAAGGAATCACTGTCTAGTTTGTTGGATATGCCAGGTACTTCAACGACAGTTGGAAACGTGAGATAATTGATGCATAATTGGCTTTTATATATATATATATATATATATATATATATATATATATATATATATATATATATATATATATATATATATATATATATATATATCATTTTCAGGAATCTTGTAATGGCTCAGATCATTGCTATTGTCCAAGGATTGGTGTCTGCGAAAAATCGTTTTACTGGGTTAACTTCAACAGCTTGGTGAAGAATAGGAAAAACAAGGGAAATCATAATAGAGAATATTTCTTTGCATTAAAAGTTACAAATGGTGCAAAACTAGTAAGCATATCCAAATTAGATATCCTTACTGATGATTCTCCACCTGAAAAGGGGGTTGTCGAAGAAGGATCAAATAACAGCCCAGATATTGACTTTACATCATCTAAAAGGATACAAGTGCGATGGAGTGACTTTATTGACCATGAAAGTGGTATAAAAAAATACCGTGTTGGCATCAGTAAACAATGCCTATCTAAAGATGAGATGCTTCACAACTATCACAGTAGAATAGACAAACACAGATATTTGTATGAAACCACAGATAATCACATCAGTGTTCAGCTTGAAGCTCCAGGACAGTATTTTACCTCTGTCATTGCTTACAATCACGCTCTAGAATCCTCTGATGTATCGTGTTCAGATGGCATTGTATATGATGTTTCTGAACCTGTTGTGAACGACCTAATTTTACATCATTCCAAAACAGATGAGTTTATAGGATGTTTTAATTCTTCAGCTTGGCTGATCTTAAATAACTTAACAGCCGTGTCTTTGCAATGGACAGTTCTTTGTCAGCAGAAATGTAATGAAAGTGGCATTGAGTATAATCTTATAATGCACTTACCTCACGTGTACTTGAATACATCTTATGACGAATCGTACGCAGACGCTCTTTGTCAGAAGCTAAACATTTACAAAGAGGAGTATTTTACGTATATACCTTCCGACGAGATTCATCTGGTGTGGAATGTGACGGACGAAGAATCTCAAATTCATGCGATACAAATTGGTTTCTCATCTACAAAATCGCAATCTCGTGATCCGGATATTTTATCATTTACACCAACAAAGCGTTTATTAAGTGAACGAATGCATTCAGGGATAGACCCAGGAATACCATTCTTTATTAACTTGAAAGCATCCAATAAGGCTAACCTAGAAACGCTAGTAACGTTAGGACCCGTTATAATTGATGATACACCTCCCCAGTATAGTGGGGACATTAATGTCACTTTGGTATCTGACTTCGTTTTTGTCATTTGGAATGATAATACTTTCATCGAAGAAGAACAAAAAGAGGCTGTTTCTAACGTTCTCTTCAAAATAGGTAAAGAAAAACGATATAAACTCAATATTAACGTATGCATAATTATATTCATGTTCAAGACCGTGAAACCTTTACGTTATTTATGTATTTTTGTATATTTTCAGGCCATGGTTCAACTTTTTTTACCCCGTTGTTTCAAGGATATCTTACTCACGCTTGTCCAAACTTCAATAGTACGGTTACTTGTTTCAAGTATCCAATCCGAAAAATCCAGAGAATGAATGATGATAATACTTTATTTTACTTTGAGCTGTACGTTTACAACACTGTAGGACATTCCTTAATCGTACGAACAGAGAACTTTACAGTTCCATCGCGATATCCCCCAACTCCAGGAACTGTTCTGGACACAAGTGAACATTTTTTGCGATCAAGTGATATTGATTTTATAGCAAAGGGTGACATGGTATGTGTCGATTTTCTTGGCTTTAGACACAACGAAAAAGTCAAATATGAAGTCGCTCTTTCTACAGAAAAAACGTCCGATAATGTCATGAAATTTAGACCGCTTCCTCAAAGTAAATGTTTACCCAATATAACATTGCCCGTTAATGTGAAGATTTATTCGCTAATAAGAGCATCATGCTCAGGAGGAAATACTATTTCAATGTCGGATGGATTTGTTGTCATTGATCAAGTTCAGGTTACAAGCGCTCTCAGTGTTATTGACGGAGTGTTGTGTGGACCTTCTTCCCTTTACTTTCAAAACAAATTTCTAGTTACATTGAAGAACAATACAATTACTGTCCGTAAAGCACTGGCATTGGACCAAAGTTTCACATTAAAATTAACTGGCCATAAATTTAGCATAAATGAGGTTTCTTCCCAAGATGTTCTCTGGATTAGCAATACATCAATTACAGACACAGAATTTAGAAGGATCTTTGTTCCAATCGTAAATAATCCGACTTTTACAATTTATATTAATTATAATATAACGTACACAAATATAACTTTAGATATTTTGTCGTGTTATGAAAATGCACTTTTTCAAACCGTACCTCAAATCTATAAAGCGTATTGGAAAATACATAATAAATTTCAAAATTTGGTTACACACTTCTTCACAAGTATTATATTAACTTCTCAGAAAGGAGACAACTATTTACTGCCAGTGCAAAAAACGAAAAATTGGCAAAATATACCTCTTTATGGAATTCAACTCCTGGAAGCACACACATATAAGGCTGTCGTGCAAGCATGCTTCGAAAACATTTGTAGTAATCCTGCAAAGTCAAAAGGATCTATAATTCAACTAAAAAACCCAACGAGTAGCACGCTTAGCTTATCGTTGAAAGTCATTCACAATCATCACTACGATCTGATTATGTCATTTGAGGGATTTCGATGCAGTGCTTATTCGACGGCAAAAGGATATTCAGTTTCAATTTCAAATAAAAATGGAGAACAGATTGACAATTGGAGAAGAGTCCATCCAACAAATTTTAATTCAACATTAATTTCAGTAAGAAAATTAAATAAACAATAATCAATTTGACATTCTGTTATTAAATAATAAAAAAATATTTACAACGTGATCGTAAACTCAGTGCATTAATTCCATGTAGTTAATCACTCATTTTAGTATTAAATTTTTAGGTTAACTACTAGTGTATCAATTTCAATTTCAGGCTATAATCCATGACATCAGTCTTCCGATCTACTTAAAGCACTCAGTATCGGCCTGTGTTAGAGGGGTGTGCCTCTCAGGAAAATCCATCACTACTTGTGAAATTATTGGAAGCAGAGAATATGACAGAAGTACGGATACAAATATTGTCTACGAATTAAATGCAGACTCTGAAGACATGGAAAAAATCCGGTCTTTTGTACATAGCAGATATCTTGGAGAGAATATGGCAATTTTACATAACAATGAAATTGATATCATAACAAAGAAAACAAAGTTATCAGGGGTGCTTATCGATGCATTTGGTCGTGAGGTCAAATGGTATTTGATGACAGAACCGCGTTTACCTATCATGACCTGTGCCGAAGACGTTGCATGTTTGCAGGCTACTTCTTCCTCCGATGGCGTCGGACAATTTAAACGAATCCTGCTTCAGGAAAACAAGAGATACTTTATTTGTGCATATTCAACCAAAACATTTTTTAAATACGAAAAATTTACTGAAGAAAGAGACGAAATTGAAGTCTGTGGTAATGGTATGATTGTGGATGATTCCCCTCCAATTCCAGGAGAGGTTAGCATTGTTACAGATAATGGATATTTCGTTAATGCGGAAGGCGTGTTTGTGATTACCTGGGAACAATTTAGAGATATAGAACAAAATGCTGAAATTCCGTATCCGTCAGGCATAGCAAAGTATGAATACTGCATTGGTAAGATTATTTGTTCTTAAAATGCAATGTTCTATAAACTTCACATAAATAAATTGCACACTGCAGGCAATGCAGATTCACTTATTTTGTAGGGACCTATGTTGGCGGAAGAGATGTGGTACCATTTGTTGATGTGGGTTTAATTACGTCTGCAATAATTACAAATGCAACGATGAATAAAAAAGTAACGTACTTTGCCACTGTGAGAGGTAACATTTTCTTTATTCCCTTGTGTCCTTGGAAGAAATTACAGAATTACATTCATGCATTGCTATTATAATGTTGATACTACAGTGTATTCTTTCAAAATTTGAGGACTTATTTATATATATTCTGTGGAAATCAACGAAATAAAGTTGTTTTATTATATGTATTTCCATTTTCCAATTAAAACATCAATTGTAGCAACTGATAGAGTCGGTCATGTAGCACAGAGCTCATCAACAGGCGTGATGTTTGATAATACACCACCTACGATTGGACAAGTGTTTGTCGGAATATCGGAAATTCACAAGTATATAGCAAATCATAAGGATATATCAGCTTCATGGTTTGGTTTTGATGATCCTGAAAGTGGCATCAAATCATTCCATGTGGGATTGGGGTCTTCTAACTTTACTACTGACATTTATCCACTGACAGAAGTTGAAGGAAATTTTTGGAAATTAGAGGAATCACTTGATTCCATCATAGATGGATATGAATACTACATCCATCTACTGGTAATGCAACCGTAAAGTATATTTTATGATGAAAGCAATATGTCCTTTTTATAATTCTTAATATCAATCTTTAGATCAATTATGGGATGATAAAGAGTTTTTAATTTTAATTATTTTTTAATTCAAGAAAAGGAGAAGGTTTAGATATTCTGAAAATTCTTCCTTAATCTTTCCTTTAATCTTTCCTTTAATCTTTTCAAATTACTATCACAGGTGACAAACAATGCAGGATTATCAGCCGCGGCACATTCTCCACCATTTCTCGTTGACAGTAGTCCACCATCTGAAGGCTTTGTGAAAGATGGCGATTCTCAGGTATTCAGACAAAAGGGAATAGAGAGGAAATATAATCCTCTGAAAGATTAGTGACAGTATTTACCTTGTATAATCAGTCATTTTAATGATTTTTTTATTAGGTAGAGGTTGACTTTCAGTTAAATACGACTTACATATGTGCAAGTTGGGATAGTTTTCATGACGTTCACACAAAACTTTCATACTATGAAGTCGGCATGACTATATCAATGCAGGAGAATGAAATTTTTCCACTTACATCTGTTGGACTTAGTAAAAGTAAATACTTCAATCATAAAATATTATATTTATTTTTGAGAAAGTTCATTAAATAGATTTTTGTTCGATGAGAATCATTTAAGCAAAAGGTACAGGTAACAGTAAAAGAGATATTGGTAAAGTTATTCCAGGTGTTAAAGGCATTATGAATATTTAAAAAAAATTAATGAATTTGTTGAAAATTCATTTTTCGTAAAGTTTAATATTTAGAAAAATCAAAGGAGCATTTCATGAGGAAAGTCTTATATATATATATTGAATTTTTGTTTACCAAAGAAAACTGCTGGACAGGTTTATTTGAGCCTGGGATAAAGTATTACATTGTTGTCAGAGCATGCAATCAGGCAGGTTTGTGCACTACGAAATATTCAGATGGCATCGTAGTTGACAGCTCACCTCCCGTACCTGGACTGATCCATGTTGGTTTAAGTGATAGACATCAGCATTATATTAGTCATAGGTAGGATGTGGATAATAATTAACATACAATATAATATCAAGCACTTCTTTAGTCTATAGTAAAACTTTGAATCCCCTATTTGCTTCCTCTTTGTTTCAATTTGTAAATTTTTTCCTTGTTTACCCTATGAGTTATTTATTATAAGGAATGTAATTTAAACGTCATTAGCAGACGGTGATTTATTTTGGACATGCTAAATAAAAAAAAAGAAATTACCGAATCTTTACTTTAGTTTTACATTAATTAACTTTTTCAATTTACTTTTATAACAGGACCTCCATTTCAGCACAGTGGATCGGTTTCGAAGATCCACATTCTGACCTCGATCACTTTGAATTCTGTATCAGTAAGAAAAATTACTCGTGTGACATAACATCATTTGAGAATGTGTTGTTAACGAACCGCATTACAAAATCTGCTGTAAATTTACCGATAGGAATAGATTTATACGTTATACTGCGTGCATATAACAGAGTTGGGCTGTATACGCAACGATCCTCTGAAAAATTTAAAGCTGATACTTCACCCCCTTTGGAAATACAAAAAACAAACATTGATAACTCCCAATTTTCATATCGTCATGGTACACAGTATGAAACCTCGATGATGATTGTCCGATGGAATTTTTCGGAATTCGAAAGCCATATTGTATCAAATGAAATCATCTTAAAATCACATAGCAATGGTAGAACTGTTCAGGATCAAATTATATATGGCAATGAACACAATGTTACCCTGAGGTTATCTGAGGAAGATAGACTAAGGGATGGTGATTCCTATAGTGTACTTTTATCATGTTGCAATGCCGCTGGACTTTGCACACGATCAATGTCTGATTCAGTTTTTATAGATTCCTCTCCACCCCAGATCGGTGGGTTTAGAAACCCCATGAAGTGGAATAACGCTGGAAATGCAACCTCAATGCAATTGTTGTGGTATGGATTCACGGACTTTGAAAGTGGGATAGAACAGTATGGAATAGCAATAGGTGCTTCATTCAGTGGTTCGGAATTATCTGGAGGGATTGTATACATCAACCATGTAGATAATGAAATACAAAATCTATCTTTGAATTTAACGCGAAAAATTTCAGACAGCGATTCCATAATTTTGTCTGTCTTTGCCATTAACAAAGTGGGGTTGAGAAGCAAGACAGCAAGAGCCACAGTGATATTATTTTCTGAAACCGTTAATCGCACTAACGGACTTCTTAAAATCCAACGATATCTTTGTCGTTCGCATACTTGTAATTCCGATTGCACGTGTTCCGTGTTAGGACAGAAATGTCGATCAAATGGAGGTCAAAATGCATGCATAAAGACAAATAACAACTCTGTGCTAAGATCTGTTTCCTTCGGTCGAATAAATGGTCAAATAGATTTAACGTTGTCGTCTTCTTGTATGTTTTCGTTTTGGACAATAAATCCAAATGCATACTACGAACGCTTTGAGTGGAGCATCGGTGTTCAGCACGAAAGTGTTGGCGCCGGTGTATTCAATAAAGATGTCGAAAGTATTTGGAAAGACAATGGAATTTTTAAAAATGTCACGTTTTGTCTTAAAAATGGTCAATCGTTTAAACATGACGAGTACTACGTGTTTTATGTCCGAGCTTGGCTATCGGAAAGTGAATATGAAGAAATTATATCAAAACCTGTTCTCGTAGACACTACTCCTCCAGCAATTCGACAAGGGAAATCCGTGCGGGAATCACTTCAAACCTGTGGTCAAGACGACATTGATTACCTTAATTCAACCCATGATTTCCTTATATGTTGGAATGGTGTATTTACTGAAAGTGGTGCGAAAATAGACAAGTACATACTGTCTGGTGGCTCAATTCCTTATGGTTAGTGCCCAACTTAATTTAAATCTAGTGTTTCATGTTGTTTTTCTACAATGCTTTAACGCTATGTGTAGTATTTAAATCAATAGTGCACTTGTGAATGTGCGTCTTATACTATTATTTCAATTTTTGTAAGGTAAAGAGTTGTTTGTAGATATACGAATTGCTTTTGATTTATCATTTTGTTTTATAAAAATGAGGTTTTTTGCAGGTAACGACTATCTTGATACAATAAATCTTGGTTTATCAACATCTCAGTATATTGATGGCAAGACACTGGATCCGGGGATCAGATACTTTTTTACTGTTACTGCTATTAACACTCTAGGCATGGAAACCTCTCATGTGTCTGACGGAATTGTAATTGACCTTGATATTCCGACAGCAGGGGTGCTATACAACACACGATATCACAAAAATATGGAGTACCAATCAGCAACTGACGAGTTAGGCATTTCTTGGCATGGTTTTGATGACATGAACTCTTACATTAGAAATTATGAAATATTTTTGTCGGAAAACGATGGAGATGTTGCTTTTACAGAGGTTTTTGACGCTGAAATTTCAAATTTCCATACATTTACTGGGGTATCCTTGAAACATAACCATCTTTATCGAGTATCTGCAATTGCATACGATGCTGTTGGTCACTCAGTTGGTCCAGTACATTCAAAACCTATACATATTGATGCCACACCTCCAAATGGATTTGAATGCACACAGTACAAAAAAATACCTTTTGATTTCTCCAACAAATCACATTCAGTTTTGTTTGAAGATACACATTTTACTTACTTTGGTACAGTATATGTCACAAAAAACAAAGTGTACAAATTATCATTCTTGTCTTTCCATCGTATACCGTCAAGTGCAGTCCACATCCAAATCGGAAAAGACCGTAAAGAATTACGTCTTCTTACAAATGCAAAAGGACAGGTTTCGACTGAATATCTCTTCATGGCACATATGTCAGGACCGATAAATATCAGTATGTCAATGATAATGAGTTCTGTGTCTGAAGGACTTTTATTTTCTCTACATCTATGCAGTGACTCTAAACTTTCATCCTATCCGTTTAGAATATCACAGATTTCTCCGACTACGTTGCGTTTTTCTATGTTTGTCCGAGACTATGAAAGTGGTATCAAGACAATATTACTTGGCGCTGGTACTACAGATACGGGATATCAAATAAGACCACTGCTTCCTTTCCCCATTGGTGTTGATGGCACGATGCAGATAGATGTTCCGCATAACAGCAGTGTTTACCTTAATGCAATAGTTGAAAACAATGCTGGTTTGAAATCCTTTTTCAAATCGAAACCGCTTGTAATTGATCGTACAAAGCCAAATATTTCAGACTTGAAAATCGATATAAAATATGAAGAACATATCACCGTAAATGGAACAGTTGGGGGAGCAAATAATTCTAATTTATCATTTAATGACACAGATGAAGTGTTGATTAATAAAACTTTTACAACAATGAAGTTAAGATGGATATCTACCGACGACGAAAGTGATATTCTTAGTTGTGAGTGCGCAGCTGGTAAGTTTATTCTCCTTTCCTTTGATTTTCACCTACATTTCAACACATCATTCATGTTTTTTGAGGAATGATTTCAGCAGACTTTAATTTTCCACAATCAATTTTCATACAAATACTATTATTGTTATGAAAACGTAGCTATGTTTTCTTTCCAAATTTTCCAGGTATTATTCCCTTTTCTACAACAACAATCGACTGGAAAGCTAGTGAAACCACTTCATCATGCGTTCTATCAAATCTTGATTTAAAACATGGCACCCGGCTTTACGTCAGTGTTCGATGTACGAATGGAGTGGAGCTCAGAGATTCAAAAACACATGGGCCAGTGATAATTTCATACAACCGCCCAGAAAATTTAGCTTCAGAAGTTTTCTTTTTACAAAGCAATTATTTTTTGATCAAGCATAAAGAACCCGCCTTAACTACACAATCAAACAAATCACAGATTTGTTTTGGATGGAAGGGGTTTGAAGATGTCTCTGGTGTCCTGAAATATGAAACTCGGTTAATGAAGGGACAGGCAATAATTCAAAAATGGAAAAGTGTTGGAGATAAAACATACACTTCCATAGATATAAACGGTGCTGACGGCGATGTCTACAAAGCTGAAGTACGGGCGGTAAACAGTGGTGGACTTGCAAGCGAACCGACTAACAGTACTATAAAGGTAGATGGAAGAGCACCGAGGTTATCAGGTACCTGTAAATTCTCTCTCTCTCTCTCTCTCTCTCTCTCTCTCATGTGAGTTTTGTTTCTTTTGTAAAAAGATTAAAGATCTTATTTTTAGGTTACAACGTAATGGTGAAGAAATTGTCGCGTGAAGAATATATGATTGACTGGAGCAGAGTCTTTGATGAGAGAATTGAACGCTCTCTCGCGTTTATTGTGTCCGTAGGAAGAAACAGAGGCCATTCGGACCTGTTGAAACCCACCTATACTTTAAATCGCACTATTTCCATTGATGCAGACTTTGCCTCTTCAATTTACATAGATATTTTTGGTGTTTCTTCAACGGGAGAATATTCTACCTACCACAAAATGTATGAGATACATAAGTAGGCATTATCCCAGAACTGATTATAATGTTGTTTTTTTCTAGATTCCACAGTATGCATGCTTGAACATTTCTATTCTTTTCTTTAACATACAGATGACTAAAAAATGAAATGTAAATGGATTATGAAAAGTAATATGTCTATACTGTTATTTATTAATTACTCTGTATTTAGAAAAACATACATGTTATTCCATATAACCTTATATTTATATCATTAAATATTTTTGTAGATAAAATATATTAATTAAGTTTTACAATATACAGTATTTTATGCATTATTTCTAGGCTTTAAAGTTTTGTGTATATAACTATATTATATGAGATAAATTGCTGCTACACAAATTTGTTTTTTTTCTTTCTTGGTTAAGTCAATCAGTACTAAGCTATGTATTGTAGAGCAAAAATTTAGGCTTCAGGGTATGTTGTTAAAGAAACTTTATTTATATCGTTATAATAATATAATTATGTAAAAGCAAACTAAAGTAAAAGCAGGGCTTTTATAGATTAGCTTTAATACTCTAATGGAAACAATCAAGGACTAAATAATTCAAACTTCATTTAAGCTGCAGAACTGTAGCTCTTGGGATGAGAAATTTCGAGCAGACAAACTAGAGATCTACAGATCCAAGCATTGCAAATGCCTTCGAATTACGGCGCCGCTTATTTGTCGTACGCTTCGGGTATTATTTCCTACATGATATAAGTTCCCACTCCAAAAGCATGGTATCCGTTAATTAACTATATATTTTACTCATTATCTTGATACTTTATTTACCTTTCACTTGGATAGCATAACCCGAACATATGAATGTCGGAATGCAAATTTTTTAAACTGATATCCAAGGTCACATAAAGCTGTTTAGGACCGTTGAAAGGTACAGAAAATAACAAGATTAGGGTAAAATATATGGTTAATTCACGGATGCCATGCTTTTAGCGGGGAAACGCATTTAGCACAAGAAATACCCGAAGCGTGCGACAAAAAAACGGCGCCGTAAATCGAACGTATTTTTCAATGCTTGGATTTGTAGCTTTCTGAATTGACGTCCGAATTTTGTCTCACCCAGAGAGCTATAGTTCTGCAGCTAATCTCATTTCAGAATACATGTACCACGAAATCCGCAGCTGACTTCATTTCATATATCACACTAGGCTAGGATGCCTGCATCTTTTCCGTTCTTTAAATTTTTTAAACCAAAAAAATTGAAATCACACAATGTTGATTTGACCTTAAACATTATGAATATCACAAACTATCTACTGTATTTGAAATTACAAATTATCAATTTAGATTAACAAACAAACCAGCGAATGTCAATTTACAAATATCTATTCGAATTTACAAATCATTGATTGTGTTTGTGTATATATATGTATATAGATATAATTTGTAATTTCGAATTAGTATTATAGCTTGAAATTTTTTAAGAAAAAAATTATCAGCATCGATTTAAAATTGATATTTATTAATGTAAAAAATGTATGTGCTCCAGCCTTTATATTGTCAACAACTTCTCTGTGTAGTCAGATCAGTATGACTGGGTTGGGCGAAGTAACCTGAACATATGATTCTTAAGGTTTGACAGACCATGAAAGAACAAGTCTCTATAAGGCTTATCTGTGGTCCCCGATTACTCGTTAAATTCGAACATTTATTAAAATTTTTGAAAATTAAATTTTATTAATAACTAATGTTCTTTATTATTTGAATCATCATCTAAAAATGTCAAACAATAGATATAGGCAGCATACGAAGCTGCGCGTTGAAGGTAGGGTCCTATGATTTTCATGAATATCAAAATAAATATGGGACAGGTACACACTTCAAAACTGTCGTAAACACCGAGCACAGGTTTGTTCAGAGTTGAGTTTGAAATATAATGTGTATATTACATGTGTAAAGGTTGTCAAAACATAAGATCCCCCTTTTTTCTATAAAATATTGTCAGGTTGAAGTCAAGAAATGGTGAGTTTTTCTATAGACGATACCAACCTTCATCCATATAAATATACAAACAAATTAGAAGAATTCCCTTTGCATGTCATACATTAAACATGGTGTCTGTATGCAGAGATGGGAAAGTCGAAATACGAGGGGTGATCAAAAAGTTCGCGAACTAATTGAATAACTTCCATTAAAGAAATAAAATTAGGTTTCAGTGTTCATTATTTTTGAAAGTAGTCCTCTGCGATTTAAATGCACATCTGCCACCGTTCTGCCCAAGCGCGAATTACGTGATCCAGGCGGTCACGTGACATGCTCCGTGGCGTTCTGTTCACAGAAGCTAAAAGATTTTTCCGAGTCTTATATTTCTTACCATGCAAGTTATATTTTATAACAAGAACAGTCCATCTGTCAGAAATAGCCAAATCTCGGCAATAGGATGGGTGGATAAGGACATTCCTTCCCAGAGTTAGCATAGTGATTCATCAAAACCCGAGTCCTCTGTCTCGGGAACGTCGTTTATCCAATGTGGATAAAGTATTGAAGAACTCTTTTTATCATATCTCATATGTTTAAAGTCTAAAGACGTTACGCGTGATGTTGGTGACGTTTGACGTTACGTTTTTATAGCGCTATGGAAAAATTGATGTAATGCTTCTACAATGTAATAGTGTTACTAGCTTGACTGGTACCATATCGGTATGTCTTTGTACTTGAAATATGAGTAAAAAAAATCATAGGCTACTTGTAATTAAACCAGTTTAAAAAAGGGTGCTTTCGATTTGTATCTGATAAAGTTTGTTATTACTCAAAGCACTCTCAAACGCACTTGCATGCATTACGTTGAAGCAAAACGAATAACGCGTCAAGAACGTCCACCGGACAAATATGTTGAACCTCCTAAATGTTGAGTAAAATAATAATTAATAGAGTAAATTTATTAATCTGTCATTCAATATGATCGTTTATATTAGCACATTTTTAACATATAATTATTTTTATAATTGATGAAAAAAAAAATAGAATTTAACCCCTAGAAAAACGGATTGATCTCATTTTTACACGTCATTTTAGATGCTGGAAATTTCTGTTGAACTTGTAATCCATAAACTAACTATAAAGCATGCAGTTTAATATCAACATTGATGAAATATTTAAAATATATAACAAAAGCACATTATTTTGATATAAATTGTTTCTATTTAAACTTTTTGTAAATGAGTAAAATCAATCTCTATTTTGACATGCACGTTTGTTGATTAATAACGTTACAGATTCTTATTATGTAAATAACTATCGCTTTCTTTTTCTTGCCACAATTGAATACAGAATCGCTAATGAAGTCAAAAACGACATGGATTCCTCTTGTTTTGTGAGAAAAATGAAAACTCGAGATTCTTTTTTGAACACTATACACAGGAAAAATGCGTGATCCCTGCTTAAAAAATGTAACGCGTTACACGCTTAAGATTCCTTTTATTTGCGCTGTAAAATTCTATATTTTGCATAAAATTTATCTTAATGTTATTTTCTGACTGGAGTCGGGTAGTTCTGTTCAAAACCTATCCATTCATATCAATATCACCCATATTGCGATTTGTTTTTTTTAATCACCGATGGGTTTAATAGGTCAGGTACTAAAATTGTAAAATGGCATTAAAATTGCGCGTAACGTCGAAGTAAACGATATTTTAGGGATTTAATAATTATATTATTGTTAAGATATTCAACTATTTTTCTAATTGTAACTTGGCGATCTTTCATAACAAATTGCTCAACTAAGGACACATCTTTTCCCCGGCTTGCTTTCGCTGGGCAACAGAACAAATATCATTTTTAACCATCTCCCTGCCTTCATTAAAACAATCAATCCAATTAATGATTGAACTTCTGGTAAGTCTTTTGTCTTCATAAACCTTGTACAAATTATCACATTCTACTGTAAAGGAATTTCCAAGATATACGTTAAACTTTACAGCCGTTCGTTGCTCGAGTACGACTGAGTCAACCATTTTTTGTCACAAGTCACCTACATATTGACGTCATTTTCACATTGAATATCTGTATGACTATATGTGTGCCAAATTTCATTCTGATCTGAATTGTGGTTTTGTAAATATAGAGATAGTTCGCGAACTTTTTGATCACCCCTCGTATTTAAAGATTGAAATATTGAAAAGATTATCATGGACGCCAACAGAAAGAAAATTATTTTGAAACTGCGGTTAAGGTTGTTAAACCCGTCTATGCTGTCGTGGAATGATGTGAAATTTGGGTAAATATTTGCCTACATCAAACAAAACACAGATAAAAAAATCTTAGTAACTGATTATTATTTATATCACAGATTAACATGACATTCAATATCCATACGATACATTCTCACTGACATTGACTTTCACTTAATATTTACAAGTTAATCTCAAGCAAAACTGTATTGAACAAAACACAAAAGAAAGACGTCGCTTTTAAAGCAAAAAGACGTGATCCTAAGAAAAAATGGCCATAGGTCACGTGATGTATGATGATGTTGAGTATCTAACAGCACGGTATCTTTTTTGCCTCCTTTTGCGGGATCTCCAGTATCCCCATACACCTAGAACGATTCCAACGAAAACAATAATACCCCCCACAATTATACCAGTCTTCATTAGAGTAGGAAAAGGGTTAAAATGCTTGACTGAAGTTGGTACAGCAGCTACACCTAAATCAAAAAAAGTTATAGAATATTAAATTTAGTAACGTAACAAATGCCCAGATTTCGATGACTTATCTTTATCGTTATTGTGTCAAAGACAGAAATGATAATATAAAATCCCGTCAAATGTTCTACCTCGGAAAACAGAGACCAAGCTTGCCTATCTGATATTTTCATGCACAAGATGTATTTCATACTGGTGCTTGAAATACATAAAGTTGGTAGATAGACACTTGTACATTGTGTTTTCAGAAACAAATTGTGCTTTAAAATTGATGAAAATTTTTAATGAAAACTAAGAAAATTCGGAAATTGACCTTTGTGTATGATATTACTTAGAATCAATATCATTTAGTAACAGGTACAGTATGAGAACGGGTATTTGATTATGAACTATTGCACTTTTCAAAGAGACACCCCAAACCAGGGGCCAAAAAGGGGTCTTACCCTATCTTGTTTTTTAAATTAAAGCTTTAACTATCTACCAATCATCCCCAGCCCCAAATATTGTCAGTATGCTCATTGCCAATTTGTAGAAAGGGGGCAGTAACAATATTGTACTAACTTTCTGTGGTAAATTTTACTTCCGGTGTATTGCTGTGACTGCAGCCATATTTATTACAGGCTCTTATTCTGAAGTGATACTCCTTGCTGTGTTCCAGTTGGAGTGTCACCCTTGTATCGCTGTCTGCAGCTATTTGATAGACTTCTATCCAAATCTCGGAGTCTACATCTTTCTGGTCCAGTTCAAAGTACTGGGGGATTTTCCAGCCGTAGCCAGCCTTCCAGGTAAACGTTGCCTCTACTGTCCTGTTCACCACGGAGGAGAAAGCTCTGAATTTGTAAGCCGGGCGCGGAGGACCTAAAACAGTCAACTAGTGAAGATTATTGCTGAAAAACTTTTCGGAAAGCGATACCACACATAACATTAACTCCCATATTTTGTTTATTTGAGCATATACATGTATCTATCAATAGATGAAAATTGATATTGTATATTGATGATAACTATACTAAAGAACAGTGAAGATTTTTGACCGCAGCATTGATTATTTTTCACACCAGAAGATAACTTGTCCACGATTATACTGGACAAGATTGAAAGTGACCTCTCTACATTTTTAATGGTTTTCTGTACTTTTAAAAAGATGTTTACACATGTTAACGTTCATTGTCCCTCTAATGAGAGAGATTACTCTCCTTTGATAAATGGCTTTTATTCCTTTATAAAATTATTAAGTACAAGAGCCCTTTGTGTCAAATTTTGTCCCACAAGGTATACTTACATTGTGTGCATTTTAATTATAAATTCAATTTCATTCGGGAAATTACGTTAAAAGCAAACAAATTGAAATAATTGAGTGAACAGATGGTTGATGAACTTTTACATATAGTAGAAAAGAAATCATGCATTAGAAAAACATTAAAAATCTAACAGTGTGGAGGGGAGGGGTGGGGTAACAACTCACAATGGACAAAATCTGGGTTGACCTTGATACTGATAAGATCCTCCATATCTTTGACGGGACTTAGTATCACCGTGGGGCCCTCACTTCCGGTGATGGGGATCTTTTCAATGTTATTGTTCCACCAGTCAGTCCAGTAGATGTAGTTACCTAAATAGTAAAGTTACAGAAATAGTCAAATGACATTTAGTAATAAAGTTAACTAAAGAGTAAAGTCAAATAAAAAGTAGTTATGTAAATAGTAAAGTTATGTAAATGATAAGTTACCTAAATAGTAAAGTTTCCTAAATAGTAAAGTTACCTAAAGGGGAATGTTATCTTCAGAAATAGTTACCTGAATAGCAAAGTTACCTAAATAGTAAAATTACCTAAATAGTAAAGTTACCTAAATTGTCAAATGAGCTACTAGTATATAGCACAATTACTTTAATAATCTGTCCCATTATATTGTGTTTAGTTATCATAGACTAGCATAAAAGATAAAAGTTGCTTAGACAAGGGGATATTCATGCCCACGAATCGTGAGCATTTGAATGTCACACAAATGTGGGCTGATATCTTAAAGATTGTCTTTTTTTCCATGTAATTTTAGTCTTAAATTATTTAGTGAGTGTCCTTCCGGAGGTGAATTCTTTTTAGGACAACTTCATTTCCCTCCAATTTCTCAATGTTAAGGTATGCCTTCTTGGGAGCTGAGTTTTCACTAACACGTCTGTGGTGATAAATTTAAACTAAGTATAGAGTGCTAAATACCTTCAATAAACATTCTTGTAATATGAGGAATCTCTGACTTGAGTACCCTCATGTTGGATCCATCCATTCTGGCCATGTAGAGCTGCTTGCTATTTTTATCGTTCCAGTACAAGGCCTGTGTGAGGGTGTCCAGCTCAAGGATAGAGGGGTAATGGTCGGACAGGTCTACCAGCGTCCTTCGACCTCTACCGCTCAAAGAGCAGCTCTCAATCTTAGGCTTTATTCCACCGTCGAGCCAGTACACAAAACTGTAAAGACCAATCAAATAACCAATCAGAAATCTCAGTCAAACTGAAAAACTTCAAAAGGACCAATCAAAATGTTAATCAGAATTACATGTAAATATCAATTTACCACTTGTTTATATATTATAATGATAATAAAGATTTTTAAAAGGTATCAGAGTTAATTAGTGACTCTTTAGTTGGATAATTGTGCTGAACCACAAAAACATTGAAAAGTAACAATGAAAATGAGATGGGGATTTCAAATCTACTATTTGTCAAATAAAGCTCAGTTTAACCATCAGCATGAAAAAGAATCTATTGAGAGAAGACTGAAATCTATTGAAAAGGTACACATTCTTTACTGGAACTTCAAACTTCATTACATAAATAGGTATAAACATAACGATTTTTACTTTTCGAGGGGAGCCTAAATGAAATACTTCAATATACAGTGTGTTCAGTTGTATTCGAAAAGGTCTGTGAACACAGGCTAAAATATACATGACACAGCTGTATGCTATTTAAAAGTAAATGTTTTGTACATTAAGTAGAAGTGATACCGCTGTCCCAGGCTACCTACCCGGCACTGGCGTCGACTTCCACGTCTATGGGTGACCCCATGTCGTATTCTGCTATGACGGTCCGGTTTGACCCATCTAGATTGACCCTCTCTATGAGGTCACTAGCAGAATTAGTCCAGTAAACTGTCCGGCGGATATGGTCCACTGCTATACTTACAAAGGCCGCCTTGACGTGCTTGATAAAAATGTTAGTAACAACAGTTTCCTGCTCTGAAAATGTCCACAAAAGTTTTTCTTAAGTTTTATGCCAATGATCTAGTATATCTTTTTTTTTTAAAATCTTTTCGTGAAAAAGTCAAAAGTTTATTTTATTAAAATAAAAAGTTTGTTGAGATCCAAGCTGTTTTCTTTGCAACAAATATCTTGTCTTATTCTCCTGCCTTATTATTCATTATCATCATCATGATTGTCATCATTATCATCATCATTGTTATTTTGTGTTTTGCAGTATTGTCTACATTCGTAAGATGTTTTGTAATCAATGGAAAAATATGAAGCTGACCTTCAGCACACAGAGTGGCCCTGGATATTGATCCGCCGTGATGAACGTCTGACCAGTAGATCATATTGTCCACGGGGTCAAAGTCCACGTACTTGACCTCGGTCATATTAATTAGTGGCATGACGTGGTGTTCCTTAGTATTCTGGTTGACCCAGTGGATGTGAGTCCTATTGGCGAACACCATCACACGCTCTGCAAACAGGGAACCGGAAATTAGCAAATCATGCCATTTACCGCCATTACTTTCAAACACAATTTCTGATTGAAATTAGATCTTCGATCCGTTCATCCTCTTTGTTTCATATTACGATGAAGAACATAAAAAGGGAGGAGATTAAAAATCTAATTCTAAGTGCTAATAACAATTTGACAAACAAGATTACGTCACTCAATAAGGTTCTTTGCATAAAATATATGTTGATACATTTTGAATTCGAATGTTTTCAATTATTCTCATAAAAAGTCTTTATCTATAATCCAATTAGTAATTCATGCTTGTAATCTATAGTTGGGGTTATTTTAGGACAGTTAGTAGTAAATGATAATCAACTGAGTGATGAACAATATTTTCAATTTTTCTGATTTTTCTTTTCAAAATATACATTATAGGCTATTTTAAAATATAATATTGAAAATTTACCGTTATTTATATAACAAAACTATAAGGTTAATATATATCAAAAATATATCAAACTTTGTTCTTTGTATAGATAAAAGTCTTAAACAATTTTGAAAAAAAAGCATATGTCCGTAACAGTCGTTTGGGTTTGTAATTTCACACAATGCACTGAAAGAAAAAGGTCAAATACTATACACTCTTCTTTATTCACTAGAACTCAGCGTGTATCATGGACAATTTCACAAGGTCGTTCAATGACAAACGAAAAAAAATGAACAAATAAAAAGTCTTCTAGGACAAACATGTTAACAGGAAAACTTATCATTTCCAGTTAATGTTAGGAAAAAAAATGAAATTAACAAATATAAATTTAATTGATTAATTAATCTTTAATTGTAAATATATTAATCATTACATACTTGATATGATATTTTAATTCTTGTATTCAAAGAAGACAGATTTAAAGATTTATCTAGTGTTTATTTGAATATGCTTTTATAACAGTACACATGTAAGCGACTTTACAAATTGATTCTTTTATTTTACAATATCTATTGAGTAATCAAGAAAATTTTACAGCTTAAGTCACACAGAACGATGCAGATCGTTTAACGTAAATTATTTGTTGGTAAAAAGACACAGTTTAACGGTATACAGTATGTGACATTGAAATGAACCCTTAATCATTGCTATTTTGTCTCACTCCTTTTCTAACCGTGAAAAATCTTGGATCTGTCACATTGAAAAAAAAAATCGAACATCTAAAATTTTTTGACAAATAATCTGACAATCACATACCTTCATTTTCTTTGCCTTTCAGACAGACAAACAGACATGGCACAATAATGAAAATTACCAGTCTGTTTCTGATTATCGCCATATTCACCGACCGATCATCAACATCTCAGAAAGATGATTCCCTACCTCAGTTCAGTCAGGCGTGAAAAATCACTCAACTTTAACGAGTGTCCTTAATATACACTGTATGACAAAAACAAATATACGTATATATTGTTAAAGTGTCTCCGGTTAAGACATACTTTCAGAAAGTATAAAACGGAGAATGAACATCAATGAAAACTTTAAGGTGATTAAATATAATGGTTGAATAAATCAAGTTTCGATCCTTAAAGGATAAAATCATGGACTCTTGAGTTATACGACATGTGCATCATTTAAGTAAATATTGAATTTGATTAATTTCGACTAGTCACTTCGGTCTGTTTTATTACTTACCCATGCAGGTGTCTCTTGCGTCAAGAAAAACTGGTGAAAGGGATCATAAACAGTCCTCTAATTCATGTACATGCTCTCAAAATTCAAATATTTTGTTTTAAGTTTCTGCTATCGCGTAAATGTACTAGTAATATCAGCCTGGATATCCATGTGCATTTTTTACGTGTCTATATCTCCACAGTGTGTCTTTTAAAACTTTGTATGTAGGAGGTCTGTGATTCATATACAGTCACCTGTATAAAAACTGGTTCAACAAAAGGACCTATTTATATTTTGATTTATTTATATTACTGCCAGTATATACATAAGAGAGAGAGAGAGAGAGAGGGAGGGGGGTCATATATAGATGTAATTAAGAAGGAATGTTACACCAAATTTTTATGTAATAGATCTTTAAACATGTCTTTTGAAAATATGGTTTCGGCGTGGAAAGATGGATATTAATTCATTATTATTTTATATATTTTTTTCTGTATTTTATTTAAAATGATAAAAGTGTTTTATTTGCAAATCAGATGATTTAATTTAAAATTTACACTTAATAAATGCACAACATAAATATCCAATAAAACAAGAAAAGTCAGATTTTATTAATTTATATTTTTTTAAATAAAAAAATTACGAAAATACAGCATATTATTCGTTAATATCTTGTTTATCTATAGATAGAATATTCAAGAACAAGTCAGAAATAGGAGTGATATAATACACAATCATTTTTTGTTTTAAATTTGAAATTAAATGATGAAACTTTAAAGGGGGGATGCTAATTTTCCATTAAACCAATCCCGATTGAAATTAACCGATCCCGATTAAAATCAATACAAAAATCATATTTACTGAATTACTGCCTATCTCATGCAGATTCTACTATCAAACGCTTTGATTGACACATCCTTACACTTTCACAAAGTATTAAACTTTATCCTTAAAACTTAGGAATTGTAGAAATTTTGTTGTGTATAAATGAAAAATATTAAAATTATAATCCAAAAAATTCAGAGTAGAAATGTGAGAAAGCAAAACCAACTCACCAGAACTCTCAGTCCGTGCTCATTAATTGATTTGTGCAGAGTTTAACAAATTGAACAAACTCGGTGAAACGAAAACATTAACAATAACGGAGCTCGTGCCCTGTTTACAAAAACAGTTCACGTACACAACAAAATTTCTACTTTTCCTAAGTATTAAGGATAAAGTTAACTTTGTGAAAGTGTAAGAATGTGTCAATCAAACGCCTCCCGAAATTCTTAGTTTCAATAATTTCCAGATAAAATAAGTTCTTTTTAAATTTTATTTTCGTGTGAAATGCGATAGCAACATATAAGTCGTGACATTATACAGAAAATTTGAGAAAATATTAACTTAAAATTTTTGTTATCATAATTTAAAAAATTTCAAACACCTATCTAATGCTTCTTGACATGTTCTATTATATATTTTTATATTATGGCATTTATGCCATATTGATTAGCAGCAAATTCTAAATTCTAAAGAATCTTACTTGCAATATCAGTAATTTGTACCATTCCTTTCAAAAAGTACAAAAAAATTAAGAATTAAGAGCTAATATCAATCTCTCCATGCTGAGTCCACATTTTAGAAAATATGTCTCTACTTTTTTGGGGGGGAGGGGGGGGGGGTCTGTGTTCCAACCTTACAATTTGCAGACAATTGAAAGAAACATCTTTAAGGTGCATTACTCCAACAGATTCCTTTATAAAACAGATTGGTATAAGGTTACCAATGAATCAGCACACCATTAATAAGTAAGCGCATTCCATTCATGACCTTCAGGTACATGTACATGTATATAGAACCTTTTAATGACACTGAGATTGCTATTGACCTTGACCTTTGAAATCCAGACTAACTTTTTTTCTGTCCAAGGTCTCATTAGAACGATATTTAATTCCTAAAAGGAGACTTATCCTAAATTGATACACAGACAGGCCAACACACACACACAAACATCCGAATTCCCTCCCCCTACATGCCTGAAACTGGCATACCCACCCAACTTTTCTTAAACATGGAAGAAATAAAGAGCAAATGGACACCACACTATTTCAATTTCTTCTTTCTAACAATAACAACATTCAGTAGTGTGAATAATTTTAACATCATTTATTTACAACTTGAGTATAAATAGTAGAATGTTCATATATTATATAACATCACAGTCTTCTAAATGAAAGATATATACAGTGACGATGAATATTTTATAAGTATCATGATGAATAAAGAAATTGATAATGAAAAAATCTTATTACAATTTACATAATGTAAAATTCAGCAACAAGTTAAACATATTTTTAAAAGAAAATAATTAATAAAATATGTACAAAAAAGTGTCAGCAATTAATGCTTTTTCAGTTCAGTTAACATTATGGAAATTGGTCAATTAAGAAAAAAATTAATCAACCTATTCTCCAAGTAGTTGTGCACAGTCAATGATCATGAATACTTGGCTCTTAAAATCAAATAAAACCTTTGGTCTGAATTATATAAATCATCACTCTGTTTTTTCTCCCAGCCCTTCATCAGAATTTGTGATGATAAAAGACTTTTTACACAGATGATTCCTACATGGAATGAAAAGATTTTAGATGACCTGAGTCTCCCTATAGACTCCCTATACACTGCTCTTTAGTGACCCTTTATGTAGAGTTTATAACCCTCCCCATGTATACCCCCCTCCACTTCCCGAGAACCAGTTCGCTTTCTGCTGCTGGGCCACGATGGGACGACCCTGCATCACAGCCTGCTGGGCTGCTGTAGGCATACACCCAGGGGGTGGGGGCTGAAAAACAACAAAGAAACTTATCATATTTTATATAACAATGCTGCCTAAAAATTGGTTACTCACTCAATTTATCACCTACACTGAATCTGCTGATTCACCACATACATGTAGTGGATTTTTGATTTTGATTTCAAAAGAACTTTCGCATTTTTCTTGCAGTCTTTAAAACATTTGATTAAAAAAAATAGTGTTTGTTTCTCTTACAGGTATTCTTGGTTGGGAAATGCCATCAAATCTTGCTCCTGAGTCAAAGGAAGCCATGGCCACTTGACCATTGCTGACCATGCCCCCAGGTCCGGCTAACTGTACATTCTGTGTCTGTGGATACATCTGATATCCTGCTGGCATCTGGGGCTGAAGAATTGGGAAGACAGATTGTTAATACAATTTATAACATGTTATTGGATTTATCAGGATTGATATCACATTTAAAGTTCTGAGATGATTCCTGACAAAAGCTTACCTGCTGTGGGGGAGGTTGGTAGCTGTAGGGGGGAGGAGCTTCATTTGGCATACCATACATAGGTGGCGCTGATGCTGCAAAATTTTATTAATCGTTCTATATTTTCATTATATACTTTACCAGAAAAAGACGTTAATGGTAACCTAGCAACAAAGCTTTATGATAAAAATGATGACTTCAATTTTTCAATCATCAACATCTCTAACTTATGTAGCAATACACCCTTATCACTTGCATATGGGGTTTTTGTCTCCCAGTTGATTTGATACGCAAGAGCATGCTCTACATATGAACATTTTCTAAAATGAGACAAGCTACTGACAAACAAAATGATGAAACAAGGATATTAACAGTCTTGTTTGAAGTCATCATTTTGCAAATTTATGGTTGATACAATAACCTTGTCAGCAAAAACAACCTATCCTTAAGTCAAATGCTGATTGGTGTATTTCATTACTGGTTGTTATACCATTATTTACACACTGAATTGTCTACAGATTTTTCCTTTTTTCCGATCATGACAAGGAGCACATGGTGGGTTTGACTGGTCAGCAAGGTATGCTCACTCCACCATGGCACCTGATCCAATCTCTGATGTTTTTTAGATGTCCATGTTTGCTCTACTCCCAATTTGTATTGTTTAAATGGACTTTGAGCTTGAATACTGTTCGTTATCTCCATATTTCATTTCACTGACCATGTCACATGTATATGAGGAAATAAAATATTGAGAATATTAGAGAGTACACACAGAAAAGATTTCCATTACCAATCAATATTCTGTACTATAAAAAGATGACCTTCATCCAGTAATCCACAGCACATTCCCATTTATCATTTCACATGTTTAATTGAGTGCCCCTTTCCCAAATTAGCCAAGGACAGACACAAGGGAACATTGAATACTTACGTTGCCATGGTTGAGCCTGGGGGTATGCGAACTGAACGTTGTTTTGTTGTACTGGGTATGGGCGAGGCTGCGTTGGATATCCTTTCCCTAAAAATACCGAATTTTAGTATTACGTAATTTTACTATACAGAGTAAAACAGCATTTTTCTTTTCAACCGTTTGATGTTACATTAAGAAAACAAGTCAATGACCATAGCTTGATCTTATGAAGGAGGGTTCATTCGGTTTAATATAACTTATTGTTGCTTACCTGACATTTTTCTTCCTTAATGATTTCACTGTCGCTGTTCGTCTATAAATACTCTTTGTTTACAAAGGATCTAATATGCCTTGCGAAATGAAACGACTAAAACCATTGTCCCGGATAAAACCGGAAAGAAAATTACTTTGGTCATTCAAGTTACCTAGGAAAGAAATGTTAGATTTACTTTAATCAAAAAAGATTATATTAAGATATGATTAACACTCATCAGTAGTAAATGGATTCCTGTTTACGTATCTTTCGATATTTCATATCAACTCGTTTTTGTTTGATTTTTCCTTTTCTTGCCGTAAATATTTACCTTTATCAAATATTGGTCATTAATGAGGACGCATCTGACGTCAGTGTCACATGAGATTGAATTGTAGAATGTAATCCTGTGCGAAGTAGCAAATGCATGATCTTCGCCCTTGTTTACATGTTGAAGGAGCATTTTTTTTTTTACTTCTGAAACATATATATGGGGAGAAATCGCATATTATTTTGAGACTTTGGCAGTAACGAAAAGAACATACTCATATTCAACATGATTTTGTGTTAATATTACTTAATATTTCTATATTCATGTTAAAATGCATAGATAACATAATCAAAGTGTAAAGCTAAGGTTTGGATTTTAAATACAAAAGTTTGGAATTTCATTTGCGTAATAAACAGCATTATGTACCAAAAATCAAAAACAAGCTTGAAAGAATCGAGGGGAGGGGGGGGGGGTGTTCACAGGAATATAATTTAAGTAATTTAATTTCGAAAACAAAGCTATAATAATTTACAGTTGTATCCCCTCGGTATAATTTTACCAGTTTATACTATAACAAATGAAAAAAAGTTCGTTTTGTTTTGCTTTGTTATTGCTTGTCAAGAATCCCCGTTTTGTACTGTTTATCTGTTTTGCTTGTCAAGAATCCCACCCACCCACCCCACCCCCTCAAAAAAAAAAAAATAAATAAAAACTGAAATTGATTCCTACGTGCCTGAAATAGTCTACATGGATGTTAACATATACCGCTATTGAAGGGAAGTAACCTGCATTATAATTGTCTATTGGTACTTGGTAACAGGAAGCGTTCAGTTTCACCACTTCCTCCACAGATTTTTTGGTCTCTTTGTGTATTTTATTTTCATGTTTATCGATATTTAGAGGGGAAAATATAAACTGTTGATTTTTATTCGGTAAAATAGGTGTTAAAAAATGCAGTTTAAAACCAACTGATTTTTAAAAAGATTTTACTCAGTACATACTCAAGGAATAATATTGCTCGAAGACAAACAGCCTATTTGGGAAAAGATAATAAATTATCATGAAATTGAAATCATTAAGACACTAAATTGTATTGTATCCTAGATTTATTGAGATAATACTAGTAATACATGGCTTAGGGTGGGTTAAAACAATTATAACTTTGATGAGGTCGTAGAAATAAAATTAATTAAATGCCTTTGATTCAAATAACACTTGAAACTGATGTAAATATTTTGCATGTGGCTAACAACTGTAAGCTATTTCAATGTGTCATTTAATCGACCAATCAAACCACAATTGTACAATTTTATTAGAAACTTCTAGGAGTTTGTCGGCGTGCTTTTGGGGTATTTTCCTCCTTCTACCTTGCAATCACAGCAAAATGAAGTTTATTCTGAATTATGCCGAAAGTATGGTCTCGCTCAGCCAGCAGGAAGTAGGTATGCAGTGGGATTAACACCATTCAAGGCTGTTTGTACAAGCGCTGCACCCCTCTCTACAGATTTGCGACAGGTGCATTCTTATGCACTGGACTATTCTTATGCGCTTTTACTTCCGCACCACGTACATGTATGCCAAGTTGACCTACTGTGTTTTGCAGTACATATTTGGCCATGCATGGTACTTAGTACATGTAACTCTCTCTCTCTCTCTCTCAAAAAAAGGATTGTTTCAATACTGCATTTTTGCACGAATCATCTCATGCCACTGTCGATCCGCATTTTAGCTCTCTTCAGAATTAATGTGAGAGGATTATACATTTTGGTCATTGTTTCCGATGATATATTTCACGGGAAACTTCCTAGATTAGGCGAAATCGAGTGTTATTTAAAAGTGTAGTTGTGACAATGCTTCAGATGTCATTTCTTTAAAAAATAAAAATGTATGTCACACCAGGAGGAGGGATGCACGAAACGCGTGCTTTACGGTACCGTGCTTTATAGAGAAAGTAGCAGACATCACACACTCCATGACTTGTCTCTAAATTTTACGTTTTAAAAACTTATTCCTATGCGGAAATATTCATCCTGATAATTATTATTCATAAAAAAAAAATTGGACCCCAACCACACTGCTAATTCCGAATTCACTTCTGATAATGCATTTTTATCTGCATAGCTGAAACAAGTACATGTAATCATGTAGGTCAGGTTTTAATTGTGTCTTAATTTTAGCAAAATTGTCATCTATAATCAATCAGTTTTAAACACATTGTCAATTAATTCTTCTATTCCTAAAAACAGGTATTTATTTATCATGGAGAATATAATGACTTGCTATCGGTCAATAACATTACTTCGTATGCAAGTGCTGTACCTTGATAAAAGTTGGATGTTGGAATTGCTTTAGTAAGGAAACTATAAAGACACTGAGAAGTTGATTGCGTAGAGAGCTTGTTTTCCACCACAAGGAAGAGCGCCATGTCTAAGAAAGTCACATTTTCAGCAAATAAGGAGGAGGGCTTCCTTCCGTTTACGGGATAACGAAGTTCAGTGCCGAAAGTTTCGCTGGATAAAAATTATATTACAGCGATCTGTATTATTTGCGTCTTTAATGCAGTGTTTCTTCAGCAAATCTTGTCCCTCTGTTTCCAGTGATAAGAGTAATGACGGCTAGAGAGGATGATATCTTTTTAAAGCTCTTAGAGCCATTTGTGCGAAAATAATAGAAAGATGCAATCGAATCTTCTCCTCCAAACTGCTCCAAATAAGAACAAGAAAACATTGACGTAACCATCAATTGTCGCCCGGGAAATAAATAAAGTAAACAATGGAAATGAGTCTTGATCATCAAACCGCTTCGATATGTGTGAAAAAGGCATGCGTCTAAATGATGGAGACGATAGTCGAGAATATCTTGAAAACTTATAGTCGGATGAAAATCGAATAAAAACGATACCCTTTTAAACTTTATCAATTCCTCAAGTAAATGTTGGCTGCATAAAATATAAATTGAAACCAGACACATGCATCACCTATTTTCAAAAATGTCTTTCACTTTAAGAATATAAAATACGAACTGTGTAAGGTACGTTTTTACGTTTTTATGCGATAAGTAAAATTCGATGTTCTAAAATAGGGGACCTGTCGTTTTTTCGATAGTAAATGATAGGCAACTTTATATATTAAATATGAAAAACATATATATTTTTACAGATTCACTTTATGGAAGTAAATATATTGTGTATCCCGTAATTTATAAAGGGAAAGAACATTCTGATTAACAATCTTTTTAATGTTTAGAAAACTTTTAATTCTGAATAACTTCTCCCACCTCAATCCCCATATACCAACACTTAAACTTATATGTATAGAGCAGCCCGGTCCTCCGGGCTGCAATAAATTCCGGAGCTCGAGCATAATAATGTTATCATTTAAAAAAAACACACAAGGACAGAAAGTATTTTAGACGAACGGCTTGATTTAATTCATATGTGAAGTAATGTATTGATTGGTCGTTCTCTCTCTCTCTGGAAAATGGTGAGGCCGTTTGTTATTAGAACCCCTGTTACTAGCAGACCTATTTTTTGTATTCACAAATTTATTCAAAAGCTTATACATTAGAAGCAGAAAACATTTTCTGTGGCCTTACACATTTAGATATATCGACGATGTATTATAAATTAGCAACAGTTACTTTCATGCATATGTCGACTCGATATATCCTGAAAATGTTCAATTATCAATCATAAAATATTAAAGGGCGCAATAAAACTTCTGAAACAAAAAAGGCATACAAAAAATTAAGCTGATCTGAACTTCGTAAGCTTTTTTCGGTGGGGAGGGGGGATGGGGGCATAAAAGCCTCTAGTATTAGAATCTGTGTATTCCGCCGAGATCTTTACAATTATAGTCCATATAAAGGCACAATAAAATTTCCCCCCCCCCCAAAAAAAAAAATTAAAAAATAAGCTGAAAAAAGATTTTAAAAAAAAAACAAATTAAACAAGAAACAAAATAAAATGATATCTCTTGTCTGGGATCTCTTTTTTAAGGCGGGGGGGGGGGTGTTATAGAAATCTGAAATTCTTCTGAAAATGCTAAAATTATCGATCATAAAACAGCACAATAACATATGTAATTAAATAATAATCTCATATGTAATGCCATATGTAGTCCGAGGTGATTTTTCTTGTGCAGTTTTTACAACGCAACCATGGAAATGTGAGAACAAAATAAATGACGTTATCCGATAAAACACAGCGTCATGACATAAAATTTGTATTATTTATTTTAAATTTTCTCTTATTTTTAGTTTATGCATAATGACCTGTTATATATCATTTTAAAAAGGAGAAATTTTTCTATCAGGATCACTAAACACCTCAAAATGTAAAATTTTTGACTTAAGGGTAGTTTTTGCTTGACGGTCATCATATATATTTTAAAAAAAACCTTACATATAATTATAAAGAAAAAAATATGAAAAGCTTACAAACATATTTGGAATTACATTAAACAATATTTAAAAAAATAAGTAGTTTAAAAAAATGTTTAAAGAATGTTCTTGTTGCATTTACATGTAACTAGTATGAAAACTTTATTTCTAAATTACTCCCAATTCCTTTTCACTTAATGTACTATAATTAGTTGCACCAATTAGAAACGGAGTAGCAACCTTTACCAGTATTTTCTTTTTTAAATTCATTAAAAAAATTTGTACTGGAATATTTCCTATCGGTTCCATGCCCTTCAAGATCCAAAATGTAAACATTTAAATAATATATCATTCGGAGACATATTCAACGCATATCATAAATTTAAAATCTTCTCCCATAGGGGCATACCACCCTGTTTTAGATGCAACTATATATTCAACGTAAAGACATTTATTACGGTTGATTAAATTCTACACAGGCAAATTTAATTTTGCTTAAAGAAATACGTATTTCATGTTTGTAATGTCCTCTCTATACTGTTAATGTTGTTACAGTTTATGAGAAAAAACTATTGCCTATTGTCTATACAAATTATTGAGAAAAGATGATAGATATTTCTTTTTGAATTTGGATGCAATTCCCTTAATTCAATATCAGAATTACCATTAATTTTTTTTTTTCAACTTTCGAAACATCGGAAATGTTGCCACATACTACAATCGGGCCCTTTAATCTCAAATCCACCAGTAACAGATATACATTTACAAAACCAAACTGGCTACACAGGGGAAAGTGGTGATTTTCTTTTTTATTTGAAAAATGTGCGAAAATCATGTAAAAATTCATAAAAATATTTTTCATGCGAATATCATGTGAATTGGTTTGTATGATATTCACTTTTTTTTTTAGATCTTTCATGTGGGTTTTCTTAATTGCATGATATTTATGTGCTCTTCACTGAAAATTCATATGAAAGTTATGTCAAAATTTCATGAAGTTTTCACATAAATCCTTTCACATGTCTTGTTTTTCGTCTCTTTGTCATGCAAAGAATTCACATAAAATTCATGTGAATTTGATATAAAATTTATGCGAGTCACTTTTGCTTGTGTTTAAGTAAAATTGAATTCTGTAAATATATGCAAATTCTTGATTTATTTCTGTTATTTATCACCCTCTCCTTGTGTTTTATGTCATTTTGGATAATTAGCTGCAGATCTGTAGCTCGCTGGTCTGAAAGGGATGGACGGCCAGAGAGATATACAGTGCCACTCTTTGAAGAAAGTGTAAAATTGCGCACAAAAAAAAAATGCGCTGTTTTCTCGATTTATATTTCTCCTTTTATTTAAGCTTCCATCTTAAAATTTTACTAACCGTGTGTTCATAGCATATTCTCTTACTAACTTCGAAAACAAAAAATTCCCCCAAACAGTTATTAATTGCTCTACTGGGTATGAAATTTAGACCATCGAAAAGTTTGTATATATACATGCACTGTCATTTTCAAAATGTAACTAACCGTGCATGAGGGAAAGTAGCAAAAGAGAATGTTAGGAATATCTTGAAATATATGGAGAAATAATTCAAGATACAGCGCAATTTTTTGTGCGTAATTAATATCCACTTTGTGTCAATGGGTGGCACTGTACCGCTCTGTCCATCCCATTTCCTTTTTAGACCAGCGAGCTACATATCTGCAGCTATTTGCATAATATGAGTAATATTTTGTGTTCTATGTGTATGTATTTATAATATTGTATGCTTTACATGTAACTGCATGTATGTACATGTATTCATTTAATTCTCATTGGAGAGAAAATAAAGTATGAATAAATAAATGCTTACCAAAACGCTGAAAATGTCCAAATTAAGACAAATTTTAGCAAGAAGCATTAATCTTCCCTCTGTTCTAAAGTGACATGCGCCACTCTACCAAGATAAATGCCAGTGCTACTTAATTAATATAATATATTTATCATTCAGTTCTGTAATCTGACAGAGTTCTTAATATTTTAGCCACATGAGAAAACATACTGACCGCTGTTCTTAAAAAGTGGAGGAATACTTGATATGTGCAACAAGCCCCGCGAAGGAAGCAATTTCAGTGAAGGGAGGGGGGGGGGCACAACCATACATTTTCAGTTGGGGGCACTATGATATCAACCTATCAACTACCACAAATTCTTTGACAAGCCAAAAAAAAGTATAGTATTCTATATATCGGCCTTCCCCGTGCCCCCTCCCCCGGTTCCTACGGCCATGTGCAACATTGAAACGAAGGAATTTTCGAGATATGATGTAAAGGCTGGTTTATACATATAAACTCTATTCCTATTGGTCCGTGGAGGGGACAAATAGATATATACAATGTCATGTATTATACCCGCTCAACTGAGACACCAGAGGTAGAAAAGTCAAAATTAAAAAGATCGTATTTTGCCCTGTGTGCTGTGTTACAAAAATTCCTCCATGTCTTAGTTGAACACCGCCCTTGATAATTGTTGCCGGGTTTTTTTTTTATATTTCACCTGGTGACCTAATTCAGGATATAGTACATGATTATGTGGACATGTAAGTATCTATACTTAATTACGTATTTTGAAACAATTTAAAATCCAGATCCATTCTGTTGGGATTTTGTGTACATGGTGGATTGGAGATACCCATTTGTAAACATTTTATCCATTTTGTCCTCCAGCGTAGGTCAAACGTAGATTCCGGTAACCCGAGTGACACAAATATGAAAGTGTGAATGAACATTATTAAAGCGCGTATATGTAGTCATATGAAGAAATCCAATGTGGTAACGATGATTGATTGATAATAATTTATCTTATCACAGATACAGTTGTGTATATATGTAAAAAAATCAACCAACGTTCATAAATTGCTAATTCTGAGAATGTATATGCAAGATAGATAACTCTAGACTATAAGACAAATGTGGCGAGATACTAATTATTCATGGCATTGTAATAATAGGTAGCCAAAGGGACAATCTGACCAACTTATCTCTTGATCTACATTTACATATACAGTACATTATACTTGGCTAGCGACCGGTCATTTTACGTAAAATACTTGATAAAGAGAACACTGAATTTGATGAAATTTTTTATGGGCACCAAGCCACGAACTGATAAAATATGTAAACATTTTGCGAGTGTGAGGAATTTTGAAAATATGTTCTTAAGTAATTCAGAAATAAAGGTAAGCTGTAAAGATACACATAAAACTTAAAAATCAATAATTTAAAAGTCCTTTTCTTAATTGAAGGCGATGGACAGTGTGGCGCGAATTCTATGTATGTATACATGTATTAATGTATACCGCATGGATATGTGAAAATGTTTAATTCTATACTCTCTTTTTTCATTATAACCCGGTAAGTGACCCCCACTGCTATTCTTTATATCTACTAACTCTGTTTATCTATGATTTTACGTAATGGTAGGAGATTAGGATAAGCTCATTTCTCCTCTGTCCATATTGTTGTGATTGTCAACAAAGAAATGTGGTTTTGTTTACAAACAGAATATCGCTATATTTCTCACGGCTATTGAACATAACCAATCGACCATACTACCACAATTTCATCAATAAAGAAAAAAAAAATCAGTCCGGGTCATGATTGAGGTGAGAGGACAGATTTCTAGATTCCTGCTCTCCGTAAATGTGGCACACCTGCATTTTCACGTGGAATTATGATCTGTTAATTGTTATGGTGACCAACCTTATCAAATTGCTATTGTATTATACGCATTTCAGGAATGGAAAATTGTCTAAAGGTTGTGGTTCTGGGTGGGGACTCCGTGGGGAAAACCAGCCTCATTCTGGTGAAGACCAAACACAAGTTCCCATATCGGAAAGTTCCTCAGTTGGCGGATCCAACAATTGTCAGAACGCGGATTGACGGGAAATCTTACACCTATTCTGTATGGGACACGAAAAAGGTAAGTAGTAGTACTAATAACTCCAAAAACATAAAGTATGACAGTTCTAAGTGGTCATTAAACTTGAAGATCTATTGAAGGTATCATGTTGACAGGAAATTATTAATTTATTTGTAAAAAAGCATACTTTTTAGTCATGCTCTGTAAAGGTCTCTGACCTCAATTTTATTTATTCATAAAAATTCGCTAAACATTTTTTTTATATCATGAATTAAACTTTAGCGCATGTATATATGATTATTTTTTTTAACAAATCCCAAACATTTTTGGAGTAATTTCACTTCCCTTTTGTCTGTCTGTGAAATGTCAAAAAATCCTGTTTCTGATTGATAATGAAATTAGATAGAGCAGTGTGAGCAGCTACACTCCCCCACCCCTAGTCTGACCTCGGACGTGTTCGTGTTGTGTTTCTCAGTGGATGACCGACACTCCTTCACCTCTCTGGTACAGAAATGGCTCCCTCAACTCAGGACCAGCTTCCCTTACGTCCCCGTGGTCCTGGTAGCCTGTAAAACCGGTAAGGTAGATAAGACTTAAAGTGTTTTCAATGAAAATAAACATATCCCGACCGTCCACAATATTTGCTCTTCAAAATATTTCGAGAACAATATTAAGCATTTCATTATGGATAACGTACTTAGTAACTGGTCGCTGATTTTATGCTTGCTGCGTGCAATGCATGCACATTCCTTTAACATTATAAGAATTAGTCTGCAGATGCATTTTCAAATGAATAATGAATGTGTATGTTATGACTATTTGTGTTCGCAGATCTTCGGTCTTATCCCTCAGTTTCAGCAACAAATCACGTGACCTATGCAGAAGGAAGCGCGGTGGCGGATCAACATAATTATTTATACTGCGAGACTAGCGCTCTGTTGTCGGAGGGGGTAACAGATTGCTTCAACTTAGCTGTAAGTTTATAGGAATTATAAAGCATTGGTATCCTAAGGAACATTTATAAAAGCGACAATTTAGCCCCAGAATAGTAAGTTAATGCAAATGAAATGAATATAGTAGGAAGAGTGAATAAAATTCATATTATACGATGTTATGGTTATGAAATATTTTTCCTCTGATTCTTTAAGAAGAATTAAGAGCCTTAGGGTGTAAATCTCTCTATAAACAGGTCAGGTATGCCGATTTGAACCTTGACCGGGGAGAGAACTCCACATCTGTCTGTTTCTGCATACCTGGTAGTTCCCGGTCTAACGTCCACGTGCAAATGGTCCGACCGCCAGGTAGACTCATCCTTTAAAGAAATCTGTCATTTGATGTACCTTTTAGAAAATTGAGTTGAAGTCAGCTTAACTCATTGTCATAAACTATAGATCAAAAATAAATACTCAGTATAGAACTTAAATGGATATTTCTCTTGCCCATCAAAATCCAAATGGAGGTAGACACTAGACATTTTCAACTATACCAATTTTTTAAATTTTAGCATTCTTTGTGATACATTTTTGATTGTCCATCTGTATGCTTCAAAGTCATTGACACTGTATTTTTCAGAAGTTCCTCCAGATTTTGAAATCGAATCTTCAACATTTCCTGAGGAATGGTTAGAGACTCTATTGGATGGCAAGCATTATGACGTCACATTTCTAGTACAAGATCACCATTTTAATGCCCACCAGGTTATTCTGTGTTCAGCTTCCGGATTTTTCTGTAAATTGTTTCAGACAGAAAAGGTCAGTTTTAATTTCCAGTCGTCTCTGGTTTTGGAGACATAATTAGAGTATGATATGTGATAAATTAAAGACACTTACATAAAATTATGTATAAATAAAAAAAAAAGACACTTAAAACTTCCTAATGCACCTTATCTCACGATTTTGAAGCAATCTTTGTATCCATAATGGAAAATAAATCCATATATTTTGTTTAGATATTTACTAGTATAGCCTCTCCAGTGTCTTCTTTCTCTCGGGATAAGAAATCCAGACATTCCACGATTCATATTGAGAGCTCAATTTCACCGGAAGTGTTCAAGATTTTAATGGAGTTTCTATATACTGGTAATACGATGATAACCATCAATTCAAACCTATTTGCAAGAAGACTAAAAACCTTTTTAATTTTCATATTCCAAAACTGGCCTGATTAAAATTAATTCCAGGTTCTGTGTTTCAACACAGTCAAGAGGAAGAGCGACGTGAACTAGCCATGGATCTGATCAATGTTGCTAGGATGTTTGAATTGATTGAACTGAAATGTATTTGTGAAAATATTCTGAATGAAAGAGAATATCTGAATCCCAGCCTCTGCAGTACAATTTGTGACCGGACAGGACAAAGAATGCGGGACTTGTTCCTGAATTGTGTGGACACTGCTGACGTGGTGTTTGTAGTCAAAGGTTCGTACAACTTATAAAATCAAGCACGATAACATCTATTTGTATTACAATATCATGCATTGTTTACCAGAACGACTTTGAACCATAAATCATCTTAAAAATATAGTTGTCATCAAACAGAATTAATTTTTTTCCAAGATATCTTTTAAATGATAATGTGAATAAAATGGGGGAGAATGATTTGATAATGGCAGTTACAGTGTATTATCAATGATTACAGAAAATATAATTTAGTGTCATTCATTTCCTTTTTTCCAGGTAAAAGACTTTATGCCAATAAAGCTGTGCTTTCAACCAGATGTGAAGTCATGACTAGAATGTTTTCAGGGAACTTTATAGAATCGAAATCCGAATTGACGGAAATAGAAATCCCGAATATGACAACAGAGAGTTTTCTGTTGTTTTTGGATTATTTGTACTCTGATCATGTGGATTTTGAGAGTGCTGATGTATTAGAAGTGTTAAAGATAGCGGATATGTACTGTCAGAAACGTCTACTGACGATATGTGAATACTGTATAGCACAGAAAGCACGGTCATGGACGTTAAAGAAAAGGGCGGATCTAGTGTTCCAAGTGCTACTTTGTGTTCAGGTAAATCATTTTATATCTTGGTGGTTCAGACTTACTGGCATAGTCTGTCGTAAGGCAAAGAAACATCAAAACATCTGTTCTGAATATAATTTGCCAGAAAATCGAAAGCTAATAATTATCTATTATTATACCTCTGTGAATTTTTTTCTATAAAAAAAATATGACAAATAAACCTGCTATTTTTTCCAAACAGCCCCTACCGTGGAATAGTTTTTGTGCTATTTGCCCATGGTGAAATAGTCATTAAACTATTCACCGGCAGCATTCTGTTTCCCTCGCTTTTCATCTCGGAACTCTTCTGGTTTTATCCAGATTGTGACGTAACACAAGTAAAGACTGCTTCGGTATAATAAAACACTTATTTACTGACTATTCGAACAAAAGCAAGTTTATCGTCCCCCTCGACATCAACTATTTCCCTCGGCTTCGCCTCGGGAAATATTTGCTGTCTTGGGGAACGATAAACTTGCTATTGTCCTCATAGCCAGTAAATAGGTGTATAATATTTTTAATACCGAGTATTTTTGTAAATTTTGGACAATGTTAAAAATACATTGTATATCATGAAGTGGGAAATCTCTTTCAATCCTGTTAAAGTCTTCATGTCTTCTTGAATGAATATTTAAACTCTTCATTTACAATGTAAATTTTATTATTTTTACCATCTGTCAAGAGATCAAATGCGTTTCGTTTTTTTTTCTGTAGCCATTTCACACAGTAAACCTGGTTAACTGGTGTTTGTTTGAGCTCTCCAAGAACATCGACAAAGCAAGAAACAGTAAAGAATACAGTAAACTAACGGAGGAAAACAGGAGGGTCCTGGAGGCCCGGGGGTCGTCACAGGGGTACAAAGCCCGGGGGTCACTGTACGATCCTCACGTAGCGGATAGAAATACATGTGCGATCATTTGAATGGGTGGAAAACCGAAGATTCTCCATCTCTGAAGGGACAGGAGTGGGGAAATGGTGAAAAATTCGGTTTTATTTTCAAAAAGTATCTCTAAACCGGCAGCTCAACATTAATTGAATATTTATATGTGTATCAGTAGAATAATCAAATGGGTGTATATGCTGTGATATTCTGGAATAAAGTATTTTTATTGAACAAAGATAGTTGAGTATAGTTAAAATATTATTTTGGGATAAAAGTCTTCTTCACTGCGAATCAGCAATACAATGTAATCTTCAGTGTAATTCACGATTACATGATGCATTTATAACACATTTTAGTTTGAAAAAAATCACATATGGTGTATATTGCAATCAAATGTTTCCCCTTTGGATAATCTCAGATGTCTACTTTTTCACAACTGGACTTGGGATTTGTGTATGGAACTTTGACCTCTGGTCTTCTGAAGTAATCACCAAGCACCTGTTCAAAAAAGAGTTGACTTTTTTTATTTTGAATGCATTCAAGACGATCAAATTTTGATGGCTGTTTAATAGGATTACACCCTACCTATTATGAACTCAGCAATAAGTAATTACAGGTTAATCATGTTAAACATGTGCTTGGTTTTTTTTTATTATTTTATTTTTTCTAATTCAAGCATTCCAGATATCTAAGATTTTATATTAAAAAAAAACAGTACACCCATATGGAGATGGTATAAACAGTACACCTTTGGTGAGCTTATAAACAGTAAACATTTGGAGATCTTATGACATAGCTTGCATCTAAGAATATTTTTGTTCTAATGTGAACAGGTATTTTGAAACTTTTGTTCTACATGTCATATTAAAATGTACGTACCTTTTCAGCTCAAACATATGTGCTACTTACTGTAAGAAAGTCTTCAAACTTACTTCTACTTTCAGACATTTCTATTCAATTATACACATACCTTGTGAGAGTTTCTGTTCAATCGTAGACATACCTTTAGAGAGTTTCTGTTCAATCGTAGACATACCTTTAGAGAGTGTCTGTTTAATCATAGACATGCCTTTAGAGAGTGTCTGTTTAATCATAGACATACCTTTTGCCAGTTTTTATCATACCCATTCCTTTGAATTCCTGTATAACAGTGCACGTAGCAAGTATAGAGTTTTAAACCAGATATTACCTTTTTGCCTCTATAGAAACATTGATTGTCAAAACCGGACATGCGTGATTTGTTCCTGAACTTTGACCTCACGGAGGGGTCCATCCAGTCAATATGGTTGATCAAGTTTGTGAGTTGATTCATTTGATTGTCATAGTGATGATCTACGTGTTTTAGATACATGGTCATTTGGTCCATGGCAAAATCGGACGGGGCGTCATGGGCGGGGGAACTCAGACATGCATCGACCGGGATTTTTGGGTAGTACATTAAAAAGGAGAGACACATTTCATCTGTGATGGCAAGTCCTCCCTAAAGACACAGAACCAAAAAAAAAGAATATGGCAGTTTTTTGCAAAATCTTATTTTCTACAATGATTTTTTAAAAGAATATAGGAAGTTAAAAATATGTCAGATAATCCTGACAATTCTTATTTTGCCTTTACTGATATATGTTTGCACCTTACCATTGTAACATTGGTCCGTGTTTTAGAGTTGTAGTTACACTCTATAATTAAACTGTCACCCTGTCATTGAAGGAAAATTCCGTCATGATAAGCATATAATTCAACCAAAGAAACAATTTCATCTGAATATTGAACATTTGTGTAAGAATGGAGGCCTTGCGTTTTACACTGACCGATTTAATTGTTATTTCTTTCTGCAAAACGTTAGCTGCTTGGAAATTGAAGTCGTAATTTTCGTCGTTTGCAATTGGCGGTTGTTCCACTCCATTGCGTATAAGCCTCGTTTTCATTCCATTAGCAAGTAGATGTGAGTGATGGAAAAGAGCAAATACTTTAATTTCATCTGTGGCGTTTGGTAATCCCTGGAGTAGTCAAGAAAACCCTGGTTATTAATAGACAAGATGTTTTAAAAATGTCCATATTTATTTAATATTTGTTAATGAAAAATATATCTCTCATTTTTACACACCATTTTGAGACACTCAGGTGAACAAATGCCTTCTGACAGGAACTGGGACTCGTGTGGTGGAATAAATTGAGTAAGAGTTATTTCCATTCCTGTTTCCATCACTCCAGCCTCGTACTGACGCAACTTATTTGTGTAGAAGATTCGAATTCCCGAATTGTCCAAAATATCTGTAACAAGAGACAACTCTCATAAATCTTGGCGAGTTTTGTTACTGACATAAAATTTAGTCATCACTACCTAATTAATAACTTTAATTATACATGTATTACCATCTCTTAAGTCTGGGTTGGAGTAATGGGTCTCCATGACGAAAAATGTCGGGTCACCTTCCGCTCCCAATGACATCCCAGTATACTCCGGCCAAATAAAGGACTAAAATGGAACCAATAAACCTTAGTGGGCGATAAAAATTTACATTCAGTGCATCAATCAGGAAACATTTGATACGGATCTGTTTCTGTCAGTAAACTTTAGTTGACAAAGGTGAGATAACGTAAAATTAGAGCTGGGTTTGGGAGCAGACTTATATAAAAAGGAGTGGAAGGATGGAGGAGAAAAGAGGAAGATAAGGCTGAACAGAGAGAGAGAAGGAAGAAGAGAAAGAAGTGGGAGAATGGACCCTCTTCCCTGTCTACTTTCATATATTTGGTTAGTTTTAGATGTCTAAGTCTTTAAAATCGAATTTGCTTCCCTTTACAAAATAAGAGTTTCTGTCACATTAGTGATTAACAAATTTGTAATTTTACATTACACGTATAATCAACTTTTGAAGTAACCCCAGGATATCTAGAGGAAATATTTCAACTTCAAATTAAAACTTCCAGAGATTGATTTGTTTTTGATTTATTTAGTAAATTATCATTTAAGAAGAACTTGTCAAAAAAAAAACCTGAACCCCATTTATACTTACGCCTGCACCGATTTCATACATCAAGAAGACGGATCGACACTGAGGGCGGTATTCTTTAGTGAGTTCATAGCAGTCATAATCCATATGGGCTAAATTTGGTTCCTCTCCGCGACAGCGGTATAAAACAACATGGTGTACTATTTTTTCGTTTCCAGGAGTCAAAACTGGATCGTACTGTAACAATGTTTTTGGATTTCGCATTAAACTATTTTGATGAGAATCAAGAAAATGAAAACAGTTGATAAGAGTGTTCGAAATAAACTCTGCCACTCACCCTGATCACGTGACGTTTACCACCGATGTCGGGCATGTTGAAAGTAGTGCAGTGATAGAAGGTGTCCTTTGCTGGAACTTTAAACTTAAAAGACAATTAATAAAATTCATTTAAAGTTAGTTAAGGTTGTTCCTATGAAAAATTCTGATAAATTAAGCCTTAATTGTATTAATTTCTCTAGCTTGCTTGCAGACATACGCTATAGGTCTTTTTAGTACAAATTAAAGGGATAAACTTTTCATTTTGTTCACGAATTAATAACTGCAAAACAAGTGAAACTGGAAGAGATTTAAGCTTTTCCAAAGGTATCATTTTCGTAGAATTTTAATTTTCGAATTTAGTGCATTTTTGTTTTACTATTTTTGAGACACTTTTGATTTTTATTTGTGGCAAGAGTGGTCAGGTGTGTTTGTACATGTACGTCTGCTGACTAAAAAGATTCTACAGTTTTCATTCGATGCAGAAAGAATTTAAAAAAAAAAGTAGTATGATATTGGACGTTAAATTAAGGAGTCTTCTTTCAAAGCTGTGTAATAATTCACTGTCTAATCCCATTAAAGTTTGCTCCCCTTTAGTAATTCATACATACCAGGTTGTTTTCTCCGTTGATGCCGTTGAGAAAGTCAAAATATTTAACGTCCTCAGGTAGTTGAGGAATCTCGGCCCGAGCCTCCAGTAGCCGAGCACTTTTGAACCCCCGCCTGGAGCCCCCGTGATAAGATAAACTGTCGTCGGACTCAGGATCATCTGGGTGGTAGGCGTAAATGACCCTCAAAGTGTCATGCTACATTAGGTTTACGAAAGGAAATTAAAATAATAACGGAAAACATATCGTCGCTCTTAGTTTTTTTTTAATCGCATAGTTAATATACATGTAATAAACAATGAAAAATAATATTCCATACTCAAAAATATTAATCTTAATAAAAAAAAAATATATCAAACACTTTTTTACTGAATAAAAGACTTACAGAAACTGTAATATCCTTTGAGTCACATGTGTCGAGAGCACGCACGAATTTAAGAACAGTGCCGAATTCATTTTCTTCCGCCCTGAGAAGTATGTAGTCTTGTGATGCGTCCTTCTCGGGTAGAAAGTGCCCGGAACTAAAGCGATCCTAAAAGGCAAAATAAATAAATGAATAAATAAATAAAAATCCATTAAATATGTTACACTGAACTTAATTCTTACTTTCGAACGTTTTAGAAAAGTATGCTTTGCATTGTTTTTGTAGCCCGGAGAACCGGATTACTGCCTACATAAAGATTGTTATGGAGAATTCGACGGGGGCAGTTATTGAGAATTAAACAAACATCTTTACAAAAATATTCTGAATGAAATATAAAGATAACGATCAGTGATGATTCTTAAAGTCAATTGACTTCAGAATATTTTTTTTTTTTTTAGATATTATCATTTATAAAATATGCAGTTTAAAAACTTCCATCACGTTCATTTGTTAAAAACATATGTTGCAAGTTTTCTTATCATAATCTTACATTCAAAATGTTCGAAACATTAAATTTTAAAAACCGAAAACACATACCCCATACCCAAATTTTATGTTTATGATAGGTGATACTATCTGATTGTCACTTCAAGTTTTTATACACTTAAATCACATATATTATGAGTTGGAGTCAATAAACATGCATATTTATAAGTTAATTTATTTTTAAAATGCAGAAATAACTGGCTGTAATTAAGCTAAAACTGAGCTAAAATACCGGTATATTCTGCTTAGAATGTGTTAGGGTATGATAAATAGTCGAAACTTAAAACTTTTCTAGATAGACTGCAGCCGATCACAAGTATTCCATCCGAGGTATCCGGCAGATGTAACCATTAGCGCGAACATGACTCGATGGATCACTTTGTTCTGCATGCAGTTCCTGTATTTATTTACGTCATTATTTTTTTTAAATGTACTATAGAAATTTTTTTCGACATTTTGACTTTGTAATATATATATATATGTTGTATGAAATATAGAGAAGTTTACAAAGGGGGCCCAAAAATGTGTTCCTTTCTGAAGCAGAAGTACATTCCTTAAATTCTTGAATGAATACAAAAAAGGAGAAACATATATTGTTTTTTAACTACATGTAAAATAGTCAACTAATTTTCGGTTGGAAAAAGTCCATTTGTTTACAAAGTTAATGCTTCAGGAAAAATTGATTTGTTCGCGATCTTTAGAAAACTTGTTTCATAATATTTTTGACTGAATCTAACTCAAACATGTTAAAGTTGATACATAAACAACTGGACTGACTACAAGTAATACCAACTAAGATTTTCATCTCAAAGAAAAGAAACACATACGGTAGGGCTGGGCAATAATACCGATATTCCTGTATATTGCGGTATGTTGACAAAAAATATCGTATTGCAATACGTATTGCAATTTTGAAATACCGATATACCGGCAAAATGCTTGGACTCACTGACAGGAATTCTATCATAAAATGTAAAGAAAAGTTGTCAAAAAGGTTTGCGATCATGCCAAACAGTAAGGCAAAAGCTTGTCTATGGTTGTATATAGTTGCATAACTGTAATTCTATCAGCAAGATATCTTTTATTTGTTATTCATCATAGTTATATACATTCTACGTGTAAAAAGGAAGTTAACATAATAAGAAAATACCATTTAAATTTTTGCTGAAAATATTGCAATACATATCGCAATACAGTTAAAAATATCGCAATATATCGCAATACGAAATCTCTAGCCAATACCCAGCCTTTATATATAGACATGTAATTAAGATTCATCTGTATATTTCTGGGTTTTAGATACCTCTTATAATTTATATGGACGTGAACTACACGACGCTTCACACCGGCATATTTCATGAAGCGCATAAGCGCTTGAAGATAAATATGCCGGCGTGAAGCGTTGTTGTTTCACGTTCCTAGTGAATTTTCAAAAATTAAATTCATATATTATATTTACATAATTTATATAATCGACTAGTCACAAATTGTGTCATTGAACTGTTATTTATCAGGGAAAAAATGGCTGTACTACATTTTTAACGCCATTGCGATATTCATACTCATCCATGCCTCTTCATGAGAAAATTAATTAGATTCTTATTTGTAAAGAATCTAAAGAAAAAATATTAGAAATGTAAATTTTATATCATATACTTGTGGTTTTATGCTTTGGGATCTTTTTAAAAAGGACTACTTAAATATTGTGGAATAATATACAGGAGAATTAATGGTCGTTTCCTAAACTAAATCAGATGAAAAATAGAAAAGTACTTATGTTAAAAGAGTTGTTTTCATCAGCTGTACATTTTTAAATTAATTTTGCAGAACTGATTTTTTAAATTTAAAAGAAAAATTCATTATAAGACAAACGTACCGTAAACACCGTTGATCCATCGGGTTTGACCCACCCAGTGACGATATCAGCTGGGTACATCCGCCCAGTAGTTGACAGTCCGAACCCGACGTATCCATGGGTTTTGGCGTGAACTTCAAAAGTGATATGCGAGTCGTTAAATTTCCAGAAAAGAAAATATTCTCCATTGTCTGACAAATCTAACATGTAGTTGTATTTTTCTGTTGCTGTAGGTTTGTACGGACAGTCTACTCCATCGTGAGAGTGGACCCCATACAAACAAATTCCAATGGAGATAAACAAAACTAAGCGAAACATGATGGGAATCTGTTATCAACAGAAAATGGAGAAAACACGGGGATTGCTGAATTTATATAATAAAAGATTATCATCATAGTCACATCTGATTGGATGAGAGGTTTAAAATTCTTTACTGACAAGAAGAAAATACAATCTAGGACTTTCCTTTTCTCTACTATTTTGAACTGTGGATACATGGTGTATTTTATGATTAATTTTTAAAGAACCTATCTTTTTTTTTGTCTTTGGCAAAATTATTTTTAATTGAATTCACTCCATGTTCGAAATTAAAAAAAAAAAACAACGACGACTTCACTAATATTTAACTTAATATGAATTATTTCATATGCTATCAATACAGGCTGATTTTACCATCTTTTAGTTGCCTGTTTTTCTTTTCTTTTCCAAACGGAAGCGGTCATATATTATTGTATAGCTGAGAGACCATAATTTGGTTACAAGCTTCTACGTTTTAGACCACACAGTTATGGTTTCGAATATGGTTCGCCAAAAAATATTTTATTGCACCAAAAGAATTTTTGATGTGCTATAGATGTATATTGTATTATATCAAACAGGAAAACTGTCATTGGACAGGTTTGTTGTATTTAAGAACATAAAGCTCCTGCATCATTTATTAATGAATGTTCATGTACAACCATATTGGCATTCATATTTGATATAATTTCAGTGTTTGTAACTTAGAAAAAAAAATTCTGAAATTTGAAAGCAAATTCTTCATCATAAAATATTTAACGAGGGACATCATAAAAATTTATTTTCCTAAAAAAAACTTTTTTGGATGAAAAAATAAAATGTTCCCATCCCCTGATCATTGTATCATTTTGATTTTTAATGAAATAAATGTGATGTTCTGTTTTAAAAGGAATGTTTATTCCTGAAATGAGTTGAAGGTCGTATCTTATCATACATGTAATACGGCGGGTCTTTGATGTGATTTCCAGTAATAGGATATTTACTGTTGTTTCCGCCTAATCACCCTAGGTAAACTATGGATTTTTGGGTCTCAAAGTCTTGAATGACATTAGGTGACTTTTAACACCATTTAGAGGTCATTCTAAAGTTAATTTAGAGTGGTCAATAAACAGGAATGGCGAATTAATGTGGTCTTAATTCTTGGTGATAGCGCTGTTTTGTCGCTTCCGTAGTCTGCAGAATTGACCCTTCCGAAAAAGTTAAAGTTGATTGATTTTATGCAGTTGAAATAGCTTTTGTTTAGACGATTTCATAGCACTTCCATTTCATCTCTGATTTTGGCGGCTGCATGTAAGAATGTTCACGGGAAAATAAATTTTAATCTTTGTTGTCCACCTAGATGCAATTCTTAGGTAAAACTAGAGGCACTGTGAACACTGAGCTCACAAAATAATGACTAAAATGAGTATGACTATATTGGCAAGGTCTTTTTTTTCTATGGGAAACCATAAATATTGTGTGATCAGAACATACAATAGGAAATGCACAGTGGCATTTAGGGATGGGTATCGCCTAAAATTTCGTATCGTGATATATCACGATTTTTTCCCAGAATATCACAATAATATTGTGATATTTTTACACACAATTTTTACAACAAATTCCAATGAATTTCCGTAATATTCCTTACAAAGATGCTATAAAAACATTGCTTCACTTTTCATTTTTTTATTTTTATAATATAAACCTTGTTTGGATGCCATTGTTTAACTTTTTTCAACATTCTTTACACTTCCTGTAATTGTTATTTAATAGTTTGAACAAATGCATGAATAATTTCTGGAATTTATAATCATGTACCAAAAACCGGTATTTCAGTCTCCGTATCACGATAGGTATCACGCAATAAAAAATCACGATATACCGGTATACCGATAAAATCGCGCATCCCTAGTGGCATTATGTAATAAAAATTCTGTTAATAATACTATCATTAAATTTTATCCAGTTGTATAAGAGGAGTTGCATATAAGAGATTGGTAACCCAACGTTATAAAAAAAAAAAGCGGCAATTCCAGGTTTTGCTGTGGGAAACCAAAAATATCTGTCAGATCGAATCGAAAAATAGGAGGTGCTCTATGACACTTTGTAATAAAAATTCTGTGAAAATCTCATTAAATTTTATTCAATGGTATAGGAGGAGTTACGGATAAGAGATGGAAACCCTTAAGTGTTACCAACAGACACATCCATCATTATATAACTCCCGCTTTTGAAGCGAGAGTAATTAAAAAAACAATTTAGTGAATTATCATATTAAATGTCGTATCTATTGCCCCTTAGCCTTACCTATACACACATACATCAAGGCCATCTTTATAAAAATGGTTGCCCTCTCTCGACCGACTGGCTAGAAATGGCCCGTCTCAAAACTCTTTTTAACCTCCAGGAAGCAATTTTTTTTCATGCATTCCAGGAAATATATCTCTGAAATTCAGCACTGATGTTGAAATTTTTCAGGAAAAAAATTCCCACCTACCTACCGATTCATTTTTTTTTCATCCTGGGTCGGGAGAGGGCAGGCAAACATTTTTTTCAAGGTTGGCCCAATAGATATCTATTAGCACACACGATAAATGTCCTTTTAAAAACTGAAGATGAAAGTGTTTCCTTGCAATCATATAATTACATTTTAGATAATTTGATCTCCAACGTTTGGTGAAGTGGCTCTCTATTTTTCTCAAGACCTTTGCCATTCAGGGGCCTGTTTTTGCAAAATAAAAACTTACTACTAAGACCAAAAACTTAGTTGATTGTAAAATCTTGCAAAATTAATGATTTGTTTTAAGAATTGCTTGCATACTTTCTAAATGCTTTTTAAAAAAGATTAAACCATTTCCAAACTAATGTAGAATTGTTTTTTGTTTTGTTTTGTTTTGTTTTGTTTTTTTTTTTTTTTTTTTTTTTTTTTTTTTTTTTTTTTTTTAGCAAAATTACGAGGGTTGTCCGGTAAAATCGTGGACAAGTTGTCTAGATTGAAAAATAATCATCACTGAGTTCTAAAACTTTCACTACTTTATAGTACATTTTTCATCAATATAAGTAGCAAATTTCAAATAGATATCTGCTCAAATAAACAAAACATCAGACTTTATGGTATGTGTGGTATCGCCTTACGGCGCACGGATGATAACGTCAAAGTGTCTAAAGCAGGGTCACGTTTCCTCTTTGCTAAATTAAAGTTGGATAAGCCCCACTTAAATTCGGGGATTTCATTGATGCACAAACTTGATTTCCTCTTTATTCCTCCATAAACAGTCGAGGAACCAATCTCGTACACACATGGGACCTTCTGAAGACTTTTTAGTAAGTTATGGACAGTACTCTCACTATCATTCCACTAAATAGGCTATCTTATATCGACGATCTACAGTGACAGCGTCTTCTGCTCTTGCCAGTAGCTATTTGTTCGTATGTTTCATTCTACCCGGGGACATAAATTTTCGTAAATTATCTCAATTTATTTATTATGACAATCATATTGTATTCATTGTTTGTATAATAAGGAGAGGATTTATTAAGTTGAAAGAACTTGTATCCAATCCTTTTGTATGTATTATTACAATAAAATATGTTCAAATCACAGAAACTCGGGGACCCGATCAAAAGCTTCCGCTTAGAAATCTCCAATTTCACTTGTATACCAAAGATCTAGTGATATTTTTATATATATTTTCTTCTGTTGTCATTTAAAGTTTCTTGGGGCGTCATTACTACATCTAAATCAAACTGAACTGCTCTAAGGTGCGCCGTAACGTCACCAAACGTCGCCATTTTTCGTGTGTTGCGTTTACCACTATCCAATTTCAAATGCTTGGGAAACCGCCAAAAATTAAGCAAATGCCTTGATATTTTACAAAAGACGAAATAATAGATAATGGATTAAAAATAGGATAATTTTTACCCCAGTCTTATCTATTTAATACTTTTATTTCGAAATAATACTCGTGTATTCGCTAAAGAAACCCTGGTTTTTTGATCGTGCGCCGTAGGACCGTACCCTGTGAACATTCAAGCATAATAAAATCTTTATTTTTGTCTATATTTTATCAAAAATATTAAGATGCACTTAAATATGATGAATAAACATTTGCTGAAAATTTCAGCTAAGTGTGCCCATTATTTTTCGAGAAAAACGCTTTGTCCACGATTTTACCGGACAACCCTCGTACATCATGGCTTTAATCTTAAGTTCTTTTGTAAAACGTGCCCCTGGTTATATATCATATAAAACCACGAGGCAACTTGCCTCACATGACCATATCAATATTTTTATGAACCTGAACATGTCATCCCCAAATACAAAGGTGTATTTTCTTTATCTATCTATGTATCAATGTAAGTAATAGAAATGAAGTCCATTATTTTTTTGTTTGAACATATTTTATTGTAATTTATAATTACAAAGGGATTGGGCACAAGTCCTTAAAACTTATTATAACACCCCATCCCTATATATATATATATATATATATATATATATATATATATATATATATATATATATATATATATATATATATATATATATATATATATTACAAAATTAAGTCACAGATTTGAAGTAAACAATATTTGCAAAATTGACATTTCAATGCATTTCGTAGATACATGTACATACATATTTTTTTCGAATATACATATATCGGTATATTTATCAATATTTATCTAACCAGAATGTTTATTAAATGTTTGAACAAAAGATAATATGTTCATTCAACACTCAATGAATTTATCCCCAATAATAAGACAAGTATATCTGAATCGTATTAAATATCAGAATTTATTGAAAAATTCTTTTCGGGCTTTCACATACATTGGACATTTAAAAAAAATAATGATACGTATCCTGTATTATTTTTAATCATTATGTAGCAATTTATATTTATTTGTTATGTCTGTATATTATAATTTCCCAGTTACATTTGTATGTGTGTTTCATAAATAATTTTTATACTCTATGATATTATGTTTGTATTCTATGATTTCTATTTGTATATTTTGTCGTTTGAATGTGCCAT